GAAATCCCCTGGAAAGTGTCCACATCTCTTCAGGCGTGTCGTTCAATGATCTCTCGAACAGAGTAGCCAAGTGCAGTGACTTGTGTCGATCTGCAAGTAAGTTCCTCTGAGTCTTACGGATGGTAGCCCGCAGGAGAGGGAGCCTATATCATATAGGCTTCATGTGAGCGGTCTATTGGCGTGAATGATATTAGGTCGAGCAACTTCGACAATTGACGAGAAGTTAGTTTCAGTAGCAGCGACGGTGGATGGGGTCCAATCGGGTGAGCCCATTACTTCGGCCGGCCACTGCGAGTTCTCGACAGATAGGGAGAGATTGGAAAGTCGGGTTGAAGAACGAATAAATGCGGCAACATCTTGTGCGCAAGAAATCACAGACAGGTGTGGTTATTGGATGAATAACTAAGTCGAATCTGCAGGCCAATGTTATGTGTATGATATCTACAGGAATGCTAGTATGTGCATATGTCCTATTCCTGAAGTTTTTATGAGCACGATATCGGACTGAGCGTTTTACTCCGCCCTGTCGGAAGGAAACTTCGCTTTTCTGAGGAAGTTCGCGGAGGACCCTCCACACTTATTCTCGCAGATCAGTCTCGCGCATGGCCGAGTTGGCTCGGGGTGTGCAGGAAGGCATCGATACACTCTTGCAGTCTCGCAAAGGGCAGGATGGTGAGATCACGATGACAACCATTGGATGAATCTTGCTCGATCATTGGTGTTGTAGAAGAGCGCATGAAGACAGATGAAATGGTCAAACAGAGGTTGATTAAGCTCGAGAAGTTGTACAAAGACACAGCCCTTCAAGTGAGCCCTTGATGCATTGCTCTCCGTCTCGCGAGGATTAGGTATCAGCCGCTAGGAATCGGGTGAAGAAGTTGGACGAAGCAGTCCATGAGGTAGGGTGGTGTGTTAGTTTGGGGAGGGGTGAAAACTTGAGGATCTTGATATTAGGTCAGAAAAAATTGTGATTCGCAGCTGGAAACACATTCGAAACATATACAGGAGAAGTTATCTAACTCCATACAACGAGTGAGAAGAACACCCTCTGCATCGTCGCAGCCCTCGACAGTTACGGGCACCTGTCCATGACTTAGTAGACACTATCAGCACGAAAGTGGAAGAGATAAACCGTAATGCTCGCGAAAAGTCATGGATCTCAGAATTGCGATCCACCTCAATAGGGAAAGTAGAGCGTTCCTGATGATGACATGTTCAGATAAGACTGAGAGTGACATACAAGTGGTTGAGGAAAAACTGACCGCATTGATTGAGACTAAAATTTCCAGGAGGTTGGCTTTTTTACTGGATGGCTTTTGCACTGATGTTTTTCTGGTAGTTATGCTCGTAGTGACGAGCTAGCTTCTGAGGCTAAATCGGTTCACCAGGGTCTTACCGATCAAATCGCTAAGCTGGGAGGGCAATGTTCGGACCTTGAGGAAAGGTGGTGGGAGGCACACGCTCGAAACTGGCGTCATGGATCGCCACCGCGCTCACAGTCCGAAAAAACAGTTTGGAATAGGTCTACAGCTCTGAAGAAAGAGTCCGAGAATAAATACGACGAACTCAAAAGAGAGTTAAGTTGAGGAACTGTCGAGGATGAGGATATACATTTATGCCGTGTTGGTTTTTCACCACTTCCCTCAATTGGATTTGAAATTTACCTTGTGCGTTTTTCGTGAACAAGATTGGTGTACAGTAGATATGGATCTAGTCATGCGTAGGTATCGTCTCTCAACTCCCAAGTAGAGCTTAGAATGACGCGCTCCCTTGAAAAGTTTATGAAACGCGCCGAGGAGATCACAGAGTTGAAAGCGAAAACGGTACGACTATGGAAAGACAACTGCTGCGATTCTTTGGTTCCATCATACGCAATCGATCTGCTCAGGTGGGGGGTGACTGTAGCTCTCTCAAACAAGAGGCAATAGAGTTACGACAAGAATTCGAAGAATTCAAAGACTATGTACGACTATTTATGTGTGTATTTTCCGACTCATACACATGCTCTGGACCTTCGTCAGTTGGTGTTGTCAGGTCGCACAGAGGTGGGAATCTGAACGACTGCGTTCGGGCGAACACATCCGCGAGAGTCAATTGGAGCAGTGGAGGAAGATGTAGGCGAAAAAGATCTACCATCGTTCATCGTCAGATGCAGGCAGAAACAGCTGGAGGGAGTACGCACCCGCATGGACGACATTAATACTGCTGTTGATGAGGGGCGTTGGCGAGATAGCGTTCGGAACAATATCGAGAGTGAGCTCATCGATACTACAGCATATTGACAGCAGGGCATATATTTTGAATTTCCTAAACATGAGTTGATGAGGCTTCTTGTGCAGACAACGTGCGGCAAGCTGTTGCTGGATTCGCAAATAGGTGGCAGAGCGACCTGTTGCAGGTTATTGAGCTCCTTAATGCTGTGTGAGATGGATGATGTTGGTTAACAACACCTTCGTGCATTCGGAAACTTACTAGATACATCCACTTGGGTATGCGGTTGCCGTCAAGTATGCTCATATCAGCCAGGAGATTCAAAGAACAGATTTCCAAGTCTAAGAGGATCGTGCCACCCTTCACTGTTACGGGTAAACAACCTGTCGAAACAGGTGAGGATCCCTCTTCTCATCAGGGCCTAGGTAGATTTAAGACTGTTGCTCTATACAAAGAATGTTATGGACAATCATTGGCCTGCTGATGGGCATAAGTTGTGATGCATTGTAGTGTTCGACTTTTCATAGTCTGGGAAAAATATCGCGATACTTGGGACAGTTAAGACCTCTGCCGCTGAGGAACCGGCTCCACTGAGCGTGAATGATGTTTGAGTGGGACAGAGAACATCCCCATCGTAGACCCGGTATCCCATCTCCCAATCCATCGTAGACGGCAGTAGGCGCACGAAGGAGTTTGGCCCGGTCAGGGTGATGGGCGAGAAAGCAATGCTTAAACGTAATTCGAAAGCTAGAGCTAGTAGCTGCACTAACAATGGAATGAATATTGATCGGTGTTGTGCAACTTTGCTTCTGCAGATGAGGCACATACATAAATATATACCCTACCCAGCTGTCGAACACGACAGCACCCTCCCTTGTGCTATGAAACAGACCGTGATCTGCGAGAACGCATCAAACTGTAGGCAAAGCACGCCGCCTACACCGTCATGGCAGGTTTTCCACAGTTGAGCAGATCCGCAATTCTCCCACACGAAGAAAGAAAGAAGAAAAGGAAAAAAACAGGAGTAGACATATTGATGCAATAGCAATTCAACTACTAATAGTGACAACCGATACCCAATGCAACAACTGGGATCTAAGCTAGAGGACACACAGAACATTGAGGTACACTGCTTCTAGCAATCTTGCACCTCCCAGCATTTCCGCTTCGCTTCATGCTTTCCCATTGTAGCGGACGCAAGCTCGAACCAATAGGAACGAACTTGCGCTCGCCACAACTGCTTGCTTCGTGGACGTGGAGGTAGGACATCAGAGATTGCTAATTCGATGCGGACTTGGTATGAAGTTGGGCAACGTAACGTTGCCAACGTTCTACTGTCCTGTTGAATCGGACTGTTAACCCAACAAGTCCAGAACTCTGAGTAGGAGGAAAAATCCCTAGCAAGAGCAGGAGGAAGAATGTGGACAAGTACTGTGGCATGTAGCTGGCAAGCACATACGCATGGAGTGCACGCCAGGGGTGGACGCGTGGGGGCAGCTACGTCAAGTCTCGTGACGTGATAGACAAGGACGAGACGCTTAGTTTTCGGATATGAGCCACTCGGTTCGAGTAGCGTTCGAGTAACTCGAACACCTTAGTTTCAAGTCCGCCACTCTATCAGGTCGAGTGTGTCATCACAGAGTTCAGCAGCTACCAGCATATAGTGACAAATCATCACTTGCAAACACAGGCCTGATCGCAGTTGCCACACAAAACTCGTCAACTCAACTCGCCCCGCCCTGCCGACTTCATCTGTGCCTATCGGACGGCCATCCTCACACAGTTGAGGATTACCCGTCAAGATGCAGACAATTAGAAACTACCGGGTGGCAGAGGGTGGGCAAAATGAGCCGGCACGCTCACCAGCAACTGATAGATGATAAAGTAGTGTCAATAAGTCTCACAATAACCGTAAGGACCAGGAGCAACAACGTCAGAGCGAAATAAACAGGCTAGAGTACAGCTCAGAGTAACTAACTTCGCGGGCGAACGTGTCATTGCACCAGTGTTTGCACCACTCAACACTCCACAAGCTTTGTGCAGTGTAACAGACAATATCCTACCTTGCACACTTGTAGGTCCTCGGATCATACTAAGCAGGGAGCTCACGTCTCGGGTTCGAACCCCGGCCAAGTCATTTTTATCACCATTTTAGTCGCTCTGAGGGCGATGTCTTTTGACGTTGCCACGCATTAGTAACGCCCACGTTAGTGCCTTCTCCGCAGAGTATCTCACAAGTGGTGGAAGCAAAAAAGATGTCCGCTGTTGAGCTCATCACAATTGCGACACTTGCCTGAGGCCGACCCTTCTCGCAGGTTTCACTGTTCGCGTGTCAGTTGTTTTCTGGAAGTCACTTAGTATGGTTGTTGAGGATACGTCTACTGCTGTGAAGGGAAAGTTGAGGAAGGGACATGGAAAGGCTCATGCGCGGAAGGGAACGATGTAAACCGGCATTGCAGTTGGAAATACTATGCAGGTCTCCATCAGGATGCGACCTTTCCAGGATATGCTCCTGTCGGGGGCCTTGACAGCTTGGTTCGCTTGGTCGTGCGGATGGACCCAAGATAGGTAACAAGGATTACCCAGCATCCTTTTATCAGCTATGAATACAATAGGTCATTCACTGCTACTGTAGACGACTTGGTCCATGCTGCTCTTCCCATCCTTCCGAGAGAGTTCTGCGTCGTGGTTCATTGGGTAGGGTCTCATCTATGAACTGCAGGGGACGAGTGCGTGCTCAGGTCTTCGCCTTGATAAGTGTGATCGCCTGTACCGCAGTTCTCATTGGTCCAGTACCACTCCTCGGGAATAGGACACTCTTCACGGTTGGCACTAAGCTGATGACTATAGTGACCATATACGAGTCCACCATCACAATGCTAGCTACCGGTATGTCCCTATCAACTCTGATTCGATCATTCTAGATTTCTAGGGGTCGATGCAGCACAGGTGGCTCCGCGTGTAGCACTGATATTAGCATTGAAGGTAGCTGCTGGAGTGTCTAAGATCCCCTCCGGGCCTAGCGTATTCCTCACCTGGGTAAGTGTTCTCATCAGACCATATAGTTCGGTGGGATGATCATCATATTGCAGTTTATCTCGGTGAGACCATGGACCTTCCCCGCGGCATTAGCCCCACTGATCGTGACGGCTGCTGTCGTGAACTGGCTAGGGCTGGAGTTAGCGTCGGTGTCACACATGACGGAATTGGTAGTAGTGTTGTGGCTCTCTCCCTGTCTACATTCACTATGCCCTGTTTAGATATTCTCGCTCGTTGCTGTGCAAGCTGCAGCTAACCAGATAAACTCTATCGCGGATCTGTGGAATGGGGTTGACAACGTGCACACAGCTGCGGACAGGTCAATAGTCGATGGACATATGACCATGCGAACGATGGTAATTGTCTGATTTCAGGGCTTATCTCTTCTCCCAAGGTCCTGCTAGTCACCTGCACTTGGGATGGAATATTGTTTCGAGCATACTCTTGTGTATCAGGTAGCATCAGCAGCATCTTTATTCGGAGTGTTTGTCATCCTACTGGTCCGCTGTGGTCTGATGGTCCCCTCGGAGTACAAGCCATCACTTACAGTGTTGGCCACAGTTGGTGGTCTTGCTGCGGTAATGACCATGTATAGCTTCGCTCCGCTCATAGTTGTCAATCGTTAGTTTATATATACGGCTGGTCCCCTACCGTTCAAGTACATCGGCCTTGGAGACATCCTCATGTGAGTGGGGAGAATCCCGTCGAGCTGTTGCCACTTTCCCGTCCAGTTTCCTTACCTTCGGCCCGATGACTACGTACTACTTCCTACTGTGTCTTACCAATCCAGATCAATCAACGCCTATATTTGGCCAAATTTTCATCCTCACGTTGCCGACTCTGTTGCTCGTTGTGGCGGTAAGTCTGGATTTGAGTAGGCTCCTTGAGGGCGACGCTCTCAGATTCTGAATTCGAATAATATTCGCGATATGGAGGAGGATAAGGCATCGGGAGTGAACACACTTGCTTCTATGATGGGCCCTAGGCTCAGTCGGGTGTAGGTTGTCGTGTTAGGTTGTGATGGCCTACCATGGGAGCTGACTGTATGCAGGTACTTTGCAATTTTGCAGTTGGCGCCTCACTTCATTGCAGCTTGGATAATCAATGAGTATAACTGTGTTGGCCTTCTGCTCACGTTTCTGGTCATACCCAGGACCATGTGGCAAATGTAATAATTGTCTAGCGGTTAAGGTATTGGTTCACTAAGGACAAGGTCTATGGTTCGAATCTGCCGACAGACATTTTGATCGCGCTTTTTATCAGTTATCGAGTCTGCATCAGAGACCTCAGCGTTCTCAAAGGACCAGAGAGAAAGTTCGTGGTTAAAGAGACATCCGACACCGTACTTATGTATGGTATAGCTACTGCTATGGGATTGGCTTGTTCACCAAAAGGCCAACCGGTAGTGTGGCCGCGACTGCAGTCACTGTTAGCAGTTCAACCGTCTGCAGGTGAATTTCGTTGGAGTCGCCGTTTCGATGGCTGTGATGGCCGTAGCCTATATGACCTTGCAGTGATGATCAGCTTTGCTTTGCATGGCATAAAGGAGATCTTCATCTTGAGTCGAATAATAATAACAACACCGTACGTAGACTCTTTATCAGCGCTGATGTCTGGAAATGGATCGTGGCTATTCACTTTCGGCCCATCTGTTCACGTAGTGTTGGTTCAATCATAGCTGCTGTATGAACAGCACGAGACTGGGGGCCATCAGTTATTAATATAATTTTATGGTTACCCGACATGACAGCGACCGTCGTCGTCCTCTTGCATCAGACGTCTTGTTAGAGCTCCTCGACTCACCTGACGAATCTTGGGATAAGTCAGAGGGGGCGGAGGTAGATATGAGCTGGGCGGATGTCTTCAAGTACTTACCAACGACAGAGATACCATTGGTGCTGCAGATGCGTGTCAGAGAGCAGTTAAATTCTGAGGCTTCGACGAAGCCAGCTCCAACTGCTCGTAGAAGCAGTAGTTTGAGACCGTCCTTGTCCCCGGCGGGATCTGATGAAGTGCCGTTCGGCTCGGCATGCAGTGTGGTAGAAGATGGCATTATAAAACCGCATCGGCAAGCCCCGTTGGTGACTCCTCCATTGGTGATGGTGACAGAGTCTCCGTCTACCAGTGTGCCTCCAGCAGGAGGGAAAGGGAGAAAGAAACGAGCGCAGCAGCAGAAGGAGGCACAGAGGGAAGCGGCGAAGAGTGAGCTCCAAGAATTATGGCAGCATGCTACGACGATATATGATGTTAAGGGACATGTCCTTCAACTCGCCACGGACCAGTGGGGATGCCGCTTTGTTCAGCTCAGGTTGGAAGCACCTGACGAGGGCGAGGCTAACTTGATCGTATGCGAACTGTTGGAACATATCACGGACTTGTCCACGGATAGTTATGGTAACTACGTCGTACAGAAGATGATTGAGGTGAGCGCTGATGTCGAGACTAGATTGGGATTGATAGTTGACCAACTAGTTGGAGAGGTCTTTAGACTCTCAGTGCATGTGTATGGGTGCCGAGTGATCCAGCGGGCCATTGCGGCGACGTGCGTGCCTTTACCACAGCAACATGCTCTTGTGATCAGCGAGTTGAAGGGGAGAATACAGGAGTGTGTGGAGGATGCTCATGGCAACCATGTGGTTCAGAAGATTATTGAAATAGAACGGCCTGTGGAAAAACTTCAATTTATAGTAGATGCATTAACACCATCAGCGAGCTGGCTAGCTGCTCATGCATGCGGCTGTAGAGTACTTCAGAGGTTACTGGAGACATGCCCGCCCGATATGATAACCAAGATGCGGACGTCTATTGTGAGGTCATGTGCTGAGCTGAGCACCAACTCTTTCGGCAATTACGTTATTCAGCATGTCATAGTTTATGGCACACAAGCAGACCGGAAGGCGATATACAGTTACGTTATGGAGGACATCACCGCTGCGTCGTGTCATAAGTTTTCGACTAATGTTGTTGACAAGTGTCTGCAGCACTTGACCATGGTGGAGTTGGCCCACGTAATTTCGGTAGTCTTGGGTGACTCGGGTGCTGAGGCCGCCTCTATAGCGGCGTGGGGTGGCAGTGCGGGAGAGGCCGTGGCTCTGTCTGTTATGCTGCGGGATCGTTACGGATGCGCCATCGTCTCGAGGCTACTCGAATTGGCACCGAGTGAGATGATTGAGCGAAGTCGGCTTGTGTGGAAGTTGAAGGAGCAGCTGCCAGCATTAAGGAAGTCTTCCTTTGCTAAACACTTGGTTGCCGCGGTGGAGTCGATTCATGCAGGATCGTTGCCCCCGGTTCCAGGACAGTTCTCGAGACAATTGTCTGCTCACTGACTGTGTATCATTTATATGCTTCCTTTTAAGTATGGAGTTTTGTGTTGATAGTCGGTGCCTAGAGCTGAACGGTAAAACGGTGTGGTCAAGCGAATGTATTGGTGACAATATGAAAATTCTGAGAAAATTTCGGAAAATTGCTGTTTTCTCTGTGCACATCTTCCCGAAGTCTTGTGCAAATCTCCATAGTGTAGTGAGAAAAAAGGCGGGGCTCAGTTGGGGGAAGCCAACATATAATTCAACACTGCAGCGCGATCTCCTGTGAATGCCGCGACCTAAGTTTGGACAGAGAACAACGGTATACTCCTCGGGAGGTGTCCGCCAGCCCCCTAAAGTGGACGCGGACGAGCTCAAACGCCGAGCTGCTCGTGCTGCCCGTTTTCGGCAGGTTGACAGCAAAACGAAAGATCAAAGTGAGCTGAGACATGAGACTTCTATCAGAAGTGTACTGGGTCGATCAGACTCGCCTACCGCCGATGAGGCCAGCGAGGTTGCAACACCTGAGAGGTATGTGAAGGGCACTTGCAGTGTTCTGGAGAAGGACTACCTTCGGTTGACTGCACCTGCCAGAGTGGAGTCCGTACGTAAGTAGGACCCCATTTATTTAGTCTACGTGTCATTATTGGATGCGTTGGAATGCGTCTGCTTATCAACTGTTGTGTTTGTATCGCGATAGGTCCTCCATCTGTATTGTCTGTGGCTTTCAATCGATTGCAACAAGAGTTACGGTATGAAAAGCCCTGGGAGTACATCAGCGGCCAGCTCCGAGCCATTCGACAGGACATGAAAGTGAAAAGCGTCTTTTCCTGCCATGTAGTTCCGAGTCGGAAGTCTTTGGCTTCAGGTTCAAGGTCTAGATGGATCTCAACTTTCTTTGGATGTTTACACTACCAACGCCAGATGGGCGTTGGAATCACAGGATTTGGTGCAGTTCATACAGTGCCTGTCGGCCGTGACTCGCCAGATTCATACAGGCTCCGTTGTTTTGTCTGATAACGTCCAGGCGGAGTTCCTTGCGTACGAGATTGTATATAGCGCGTTGCAGGGCTTCCAGTTGGATCAAATGCGGTGTCTTCGGCGACTGAGGAGTATACCAAGAAGTATCAGAGAGCATAACTTCATCCGCTCTGCCCTTCGGCTCCGTTCTTGGGCAGCACTTGGAGACTACTACAGAATTCTCAAGGTATATGAGTCTCTACGTGAACAGCCGCGACGGTTTGGGAAGATGCTGCCTTCTCACATGCTGGACCTTCTGGAGATATTCTCGGAGAACATTCGACTGAGACTGCTGAGGTGCCTCACGAAGGCGTATATGCAACTCAGAGTGTCCGTGATTTCAAAATGGTTGAGATTTCCTACAGAAGGTGATTGCCGTTCATTTTTGTCTCATCACGACTTGCCTCACGACGCCGACGTTATTGTGTGCAAACAATGCAATCTCAATGTAAGAAGACAAGTCCAAGCATTAGAATGTCGTAGGGTTGGCTGAAGTCGATTGCCTGTTGCGTTGCATACGGATACTTGAGTGGAAGAGTATGCGGAGCGCGGCTCGCGAATAGACGCATCGAACAAGCGGTATCACTGAAAGACCGAGAATCCGGGATATCTCGTTTATGTGATGGCCCTGAGTTACTCGAGTAGGCTGGCTACTACAGCTCAGCGACAGATTTGGTAACACCAACTCAGAAAAGGAAGTGCGACATAAGCCTGTGTTAGAGTGTCTGATCCCAGTGCCTCTTAGTTAGGCTCAACACAACTTGACACGGGGCCATACATCGCATATCAACGCAGCAACACCTAGCTTCAGCAAGAGACTTCGTTTACTGTCAAACTCAGATGAGTGTCACTCTCGACGAGATGCGCAATCATGACCTAGAAGGGCCGTCTCAAGGTGTAGGCAGGAGGCATCTGCAATAATGAGTGTGGCGGATCTCTCGAGCTCCCTCGCACCGGAGGGCTGTAGGGGATTTTCAACTCACCCGGCTGGCGCTTAGATGATCTCTTTCCGTGGATTCCACCTTCTTCTGAGACTCCAACAGTCTTTGGCGGAGCAGCATCATTTCGCGTTGGTGCTGTCTCTCCAACCTTGAAAGTGCTGTATCAGCATTTGACTGGATGACGTTGGCTTGATCCTGAACCACACGCCTCATGAAAGTCTCAGTAACGACGCGACGCTACAGCATCCTCGTATGAACGACCTTCGCTGGTTATACCAACGGGAGTGCCCCCGACTTTCTGTTGGTTTTGTTCTTCGTTATTCTCATTCGCTTGAGATTCGAAATCCTGAGAGGCACCGTCGATAATATCCACAGTAGCCTTCGATTGGGCGTTGGCCGATCGGCGTGGCTGAGTGGGAGTTGAGAACGCTCTAATGCAACTTCTATGCAAATGAGGAGTGCTGTCCGCTCGTCGGTCCTCGTCGCTCGAAAAATACCTTACATCAAACACCCTGTCTAATAGGCACCTGCCTCAGCGAGGGCTCACTCGGTGAAGACGACGAAGTTATTGGCTTGGGGAGTGTACTTGTAGAGCCCGTAGTGTTTACCCAAGAAGTTGAGGAGCTTCGGAGAGGGCCTGTCGTATGCTGAACAGTCGGGAGGGGCCCTATGGGGTCCTCATGCGGCATCACAGACTGGATACCAATAGCTCTTGGCTCAACGTTCTCATGAGTGAGCATCCCCTCGAACAAGGCGAGGCCGATACCGCACCGCTGGCGACTCTCATCAACATAGAAATCCAACACCTGTACTGGTGGCATCTCGTGCGAGCTTCTCGAGCAGTCGTACACACAGGGGGTTGATCTCGATCAACGGCGAGTCTTCGTTGGCTACAAAGAGTCGCTTCGGGCCAACCTACCAGAGAGCTCACAACTGCCATCCGAATCTTGTATAAGCCTCACCTTAAGCAAGCCGAGAGCGGCATGCCTCTCCAGGTAAAGGTATACTCGGCAATCAGTCGTTCGTAGATGCAAGAGAGTTGTGATGGCGACGCGCAGACCCTGCAGTGGACTCGAGAGTTTACCTCAAGCACCCCATAATGTACTTGAGCTTTGGCACTGCCGCTACCAAGACCTTCGATGATGCATTCAAGCTGATGTCGTATACGTGCCTGTTGACTCGTTCTGCTATTGCATGCACATGATCCCCTCACACTCTTCTCTCGTTGAGTGCGATAGTTGGACGCCTCTACAGTGTACAAGTCTCGGACCTGCCCTGTGATGCAGGATTGTCACTATGATTGCTCCTACCGTATCGGTATCAAGTAAGACTATCTCATATGCTCGTTGCGACCATCCTATCCCCAGAGCCTCGTAACAATCGAACTCAGTGATCATGCTTGTTGGCGCTTAGGATCTCTTAAATTAACTGTCCACGCAACACTAAGCAGTAGATTGGATACAAATATATTCAGGCGTAAGCCCACTATAAAGCAGGTTCGAGTTTGTCTAAAATGGAAGCGCCCCGTTATAGGAACATGCATATACTTTGACGTGTATCGACTAAGTGGTGCGGGACAAATTTACATAATGCAAGTCAAAAAGGCGACTCTTGTACGACTCGGATTGACGGGTTCACAACCGAGTTGGCGCTGCTCGATAGCTGACTGATTGATGCCCTCCTCTGGTGAGGCGTGATGGAGTTCTTCTTTATGAGGGGCAGAATCGGGGTCCTGAGATTCATGATAAATGTTTGAAATTTGCCTCAATTGAGCTCACCCAGATTCGGGGTCCACAACTGCTGTGGGAGTTTCCCGTGAGGCATTGTAACCAACCTTGGGACCAACGTAAGCACCAGAGTCTTCCTGAAATCAGTAGAGATTATAAGTAGCTCCATCTCGCGGTGTTGACCCTTACAAAGTTGGCGAACGGCGGCGCCGGTTTCCTCTTCCATCGATTACATCTTCCCAGAAATAGAGATGCAATAAGACCGAGGAAAAGGGCTATACATAGCGCAATGAGCATCCAGACCCACCACCCTGGCCCCTGGGTCGGTGTTTCATCGTTGCGCTCACCCCTGGCCCGCACTGTAGCACTGGGCACACCCAAATCCCATGATGCCTCCATGTTGCAGCACTGTGCGAATATGTTTCCCATCTCACCGTTCGTGGTCGCCTCTATGAGAGTGTATACAGAGTTCTCAATCTTGTTCGTGATGCCGATTCTCAGCTTCATACTGCTATCCATCAACACCGAGATGTCGTCGCTGTTGGGCACCAGAGTGGATATCAACCCTAGACTGCAATTTTCAAAGTTAGGCGGTAAAGAACCGATGTAACCAACGCTCGCAACGATCCTGAGGGGCTCCCCCGGGATGAGGTTTTCGTCCCGTACGATCAAGCTCCGTAGGCTCGCCTGGCCACCATCGAGCAAAGCAACTGCACTGACACGAGTTGCAGCCGTTCCTATTTTCTCCGAGATGTTCCTCGCGGCCCACTCAGTGATCCTAGTGACGATTTCCGCGGCTGCGACGAAGTCTCGAGCCTGTCTCTCAGCTCTCAGGTTGTATATCCAAGACCGTGTATTGGCAGCCATTGAATCAGAATCAAGTGAATCCAAATACATGTACTTGTTCACATCTTGATAGCTGAGGTTTGCGGTAGAGATCAGAGAACCCTCTTTGCTACACGCCAACTTGTCCGGGGTGCAACCCAACCAGCAGGAGCAGCCGCAGTTACCGCATATCGCAGTCTATCACATGAAACTACCCCTCAACGATGCACTCAGCAGCTCGACCTACCCTAAATCGCCAATTAGATGACGCTATCGCTCGTTTCCACATCGCCTCTGAGGTTTCACCTGGTAACTCGGATATCTTGGGCAATAGCGAACCATCCACGCATCTGAGAGCAGCGAAAATGATACTTCGCTGAGCCGAGATCGAGCCTTGCATACTTACTCCACAGCATTCTCACACTGACAACTCGTGCTAGTCCGTCCCTCTGGTTTGAGGCGGAGATGGTCGTAGACAGCGGAACACTGACCATGACAATACTCGTCTCTCGATACCTCCACTGCTGGTGCCCACGTTGCTATTCGACAGAGGTCGAATAGTCTTCTTGCAGAGCTTGGAAGGACCGTCCCCGTACGACTACACCCAGTAATGGTGTATGCCTGACTGCTGTTCATGAGAGTTTTGATCATGTCAGGGGCCCAGCTGCAGAAGTCTCCTGGTCCAACGTCGATAAAGGGCACCCTGAGCGACATTTGCAGAGTCGCCGAGCTCTCAGCGGCCCTCCCCAGCAAGGCTAGCTGCAGAATGGTGAGTATGTGAATGATCATAGGGATGTACACATATCGCGGAAGTATGTGCATCGAAAACGTAACCTACATGGCACTGTACAGATGCTAGGCTCCATCGAACGCGACGCTAATCGAGGGAATACATGAGAACAGTACAAGCTGTGAACATGGGATGGTTGTAACACTGTCCCAATGTGTACTGATGTAATAGGCCTCTGTAAAGGGATAGATGCCACATGGAACTTTGGGACTAAGACAAAAACGGTTCAACCATGAGGTTGCCATGAGAACCCTATCTCGTGGAGTAGAGGAGACTCCCTGTGCCTCTCTCACAAAAATCCGAAACCCGAATGAAAGCAAATTCCAGCAAATTTCACACACTAACATGTGAGGATGTAGCTGCCTCCAACAGAGTTGCTATGGAAGACACGGACAATGCAGATTACAAAACTAGTGTGGAGCTCTCCACTCCTCTAATAACACAAGAGAAGACTACACCAAACGCAGACACCAGTAAGCCATGCTAGCGGTGCATCATCTTTGTACTCATCATCAGCAGTCGCCTCCCACCATACCTCCTCACTTGTTCGACTCGGTTGAGTGTTGTAGAGATAGTCGTCCTCAGTATCGTTCAAAGCTCTAATGGAATCAAAATTGGCCAGCTGCAGCGCGGCAGCTCCCTTGCCAACGTTCCCTGTTTCAAGAAGACTAAATCTACTACACTGGTCAGTAGAATTGACCGAAGTCCTTATAAACCTTCTTGCGCCGAGGATTGATCTCGAGTCAGCTAAAGCTGTGACACCAAGAAAAATGAAGCCAGCCGCAGCGGTTGTTATACCTGGACGCGAATCAGCGACGTCGTTTGAGAAATCATTGATTCATGGAGTAGCACCGACAGCTGGATTTTCTTCACTGCGCCACGAAATTCCCCTCACCGTCCGCCAACTGAAACGAGACAGGGCAGCCGAGTTCGAGGGCAACCGAGATCGCAAGGAATGCCCAGTAGCAGGGGCCCAGATTTCGCCAACTCTACTAACTTGGCGAATCCAGCAATCGCGTGTCCGAATCGATTCACGCGTGTCGCCAATGATTCAATCTCGCTCGCCCGTACGTGGGAGAGGAAAGAGACAGGGTAGAAGCAAGTAGGAGACTGTCATAGCCTGGACCTGCACTCTACAAGGACTCTTCACCGAATGCCAACCAATCTGCCCCAGTGATAACGTGCTAGGGCTTTCTTGGAAGGGAGTCCGCGGAAGCGTAGGGTTACATAAATGCAGGGATTGTCCCCTACGTGCAAGGAAGCTTAAGATACTTTGGTGGCGCAACGTGCGCACGCGTGCTGATACCGCAGAACTGTTACGGCGCGCACTGCGGACGTCGCAGCTTTCTAGCTGCAAAAGGACGAATAATATGCTTCGATCCCAATGATGCCCATCCCAATTATTCTTGCATCAACTAGTGCGGGCGTTACTACTATTAACCATGTTAAGGCGCTGCACCACATGGCGCGGCTGGAGATTAGCATTAGCGTGTATACCCTGACCGTCAGTGACTGCGATTCGTCTCCTCGCGACTCAGGTCTGACCTTCACGGAAAGTCGAATCGCATTCCGCCTCTGGTCACACAGATGGCACTCTCGTGCTGTAGGGGGTACCAAATGGTGGATATAGCTGTCCCAAGTGGCACGCTCTCACTATCGAACTAGCTCCCATTATGGGACCTAGCCGCTCTCACTATCAGAGGAAGCCATCAAGTAGACCTGCTCCAGAAGAATAAGGGAATTATGGGAAATTTCAGTTGCTCATCAGTGATCAACTCGCACACGGACTCCCATCAGATACACTATTTGAAAACCTTAGACAAGCCCGTTAGGAGCATGTGGCAGAAAAGATTCCAGTGACGAAGCCATCCGTACAGTAGAATGATTCTAAGGTGGAGTGGTCGACGACCATTACACCAGTGACCTAGAAGACCCTAGAATGGGGGGCCCGCATCACCGGTTTGCCCAGGGCCCCAGAATCACCGAAAACTCAGACTACGACCATTGCCCGTAGACCATGATTAGTAATGGTGCGGCCCAGGGTCAATAATTCAATCTATGATATAACATAGGGGTCAATGAGCAACAAATTACTCAACTAAGTATGCTCTCTAATTCACCTTGTCATGGTTACATCCCACTCTCCCTTTCCATTGCCACACTCGGTCGTAACACAACAGTGGTCGACGAACCACACCTTCATCAATGCCTCACGCGATAGAGAATCCCAACTCAAAGAACGCGGTATCATACCGAATATCGATACTAGGCATCATCAAAGATGGAAAAAGATCGAGCAAGCTCCCTCACGAGCCCGTTACTCCTAGTGTCACGAGGATGGTGCTTCCTAGCTTATGCAAAGTTGCCACTGTCTCCTCGTTAGTAGTCAATGAAGAAATGTCAAAGTACCTGAGCCTAAACATGAGCAGTAACCTCACCGTTGAGCGACTCACTCGCGACAAAGCTTACTCCCTACAGCCCAGTCCCTTGCCTGTTTGAATGCTACTTGCCGAGGTCTCGTTAGACCGAGGGTAGTCGTGGTCGCTCCGAGGCCAACAACCTAACATTGAATGCATGTGGGAGCCCATGTTCTTTGCGATGACAGAAGTCTGTGGAGACGCTACCGTCAGGCTCCATCCTGTAAACCGAATTTTTCAGTATGACTTACAATAGACTGTCTAGATAGAACTATTTTGGGGGCGAGCCTCGTAACCTCTTTCATCCAGCCCTCTAGAGCGATATATGATTGTTTATCGTATACTAAAACGATAAACGACTCGACCCCAGAAGTATTGAAGGCGACAAGCTTCTACACTAACCTACTATTGTAACAAAAAATAACCGACTCGCTCTCCTTATACAACTCGCCCCGTATTTCAGCAAAGCTGAGAAGGGTTTGAATTCGGGGTGCTCGTGACGAGCGTGGCTCACCCTTGATAACCGCTGCAATCCCATATGCCAACCGTCTTCTCATCTTTCCCATGCATCAAGACTAGAGGGACGTAGTCCTACAAGAGGTTCCCGTTTTTATCGAAACAGATATGCACGATCTGTGAAGCTTTGAGATGTGCATAGCACTAGGTATGATAGTGTTAATAGTGTCATTTAGTGTCATTTCGAAGAGTCTTACCACTCCAATAGTGGCGTTTCCTGGGACAAAGTACTGAACCGAGGGATGTTTCCGTCTGAACAGCTGTTCGGGGAAGGTGGTTCCCGGCCGTCCTAGAACCTCTCTTAGCAACGACACGAGCCTAGTCTTGCCTACACCTGAGAACTATCGCTCCAGGTACCAACGAGTTTTTCGAGGCCGCCTCGAGAGTCCACTCCCCGCCGGTCTCCTTCGTGAGATGGAGGAGCTCACCGCAGTTGCCTATGACGATGACTCGTCCATCACAGGGGTCCTCAGGAGGATTCGCTATCCTGCTTTGATCGAGCCTCGATCTCAACGGGGGGAAATTGGGAATGCCAGCACCCTCCCTAGGTGCATGAACCATTGACGACGGACAATGGAATAACTATGATTCGACACAATTGTGCCAATTTACGAACTCGGCGTGATGTAGGCAGACGGAATTTGGGTTCCGAGAGATGGAGAAAAGACCATAGAGTCCTTAGCGTGACGTACGGGACTCATAGACGAGTGCGTCACGTCACGAAAGGACGAGCGAAAGTGAGAGAAAGAACGAGATGAGACGATGGTGTCTGATGGACAAAGGATGGGGCTTGGAGAGACAGACGAACTATCGTAGTTCGGCACATTCTCCCGCCAGCGGAAAAATAAAATTGAGCTCGCGACCGATGGTCGCAGATAAATGAAGACTACTGCGTTGGTATGAGGTTATGGAGAGGCTGGAGTAATTCTTTACCCGTTGAGCGCTCCCTTAACCTAAAAGTGTGGCCAGTGGCCTCCAGCACGACGTAGGGGCCACGAGCTAAAGAACCAAGCTTCGACGGCGAAGGGGTCTTCAAGTAAACACAGTCACCCACAGATACTGACTGACCGGAGGGTCCCAATTTTGCGCGTGTCCTCTCGCGTGTATCCTCCCAAAAAGTCTCGCGCCAAGTTAGGAGTATGTCGGCCGCAAGAGGAGAGGCTACCCCGGTCTGATCATGCCGATAGGTGTGGCAGAGATCCCAGGGAGAGATGTCGTGCCAGGTAAGCCTGGTATTGCTCAGAGATACAGCCTCAGCCACCAGGGTTCTCCAATCTAACTTCTCACCTCTGGATCGCAAGATGCGGATATGGTGATTGAGGGGGCCATGGCTCCGTTCCCACTTACCTCCGTAGCGCGGGCTCGAAGGAGGAGCAAATCTTTGGCGAATGTTGCGTTTGATGAGGAAGGCTCGGAAAGCAGCGCTCACATAAGACGACCCTCGGTCGCTGTGGACCGTGTTCGGTTGGCCAGTCCGGGCGAATATACGCCGAGCAGCAGTTATCAGATTCATTGAGTTGGTAGTACCGACGACCTCAGCATCTATAGCACCGGTTAGCAAGTCGGTGGCAACAAGCAGAAATTTGGCTCTGTCGCCGTTTTCCTCGTAGGGACCTGTGTGGTCAAGGCCAATGGAGCGCCAGGGGATGCCATCCACCTTCTTGATACCTGCGGCCTGCTTCAGAGTAGCACGATGTTTATTTTTGATGCAGATCCCACATGACTTGACAATGCGGCTGATACTACGACGGACCCCAGGCCAGTGATAAGAGCTAACAACCTGCTTATAGGTACCTGTGACGCCGGGATGAGCCTTATTGTGAGCGCTCTTAACCAGGAGCATCTGAAGTAGAGTATGGCGCTTGGGAACCACAGCCTGTCTATAGACTCCGCCATCGAGATCCTGTCGACAATGCCTGATGACGATACCGGTAGAGTCAAGCTCTGTGAAGGGCGCTTTGAGGAGAGAACGTGCACCGATGGAGTGTTGTGCATCACGCACAGTGAGTAGGAGTGGAATCAGAGAACCTTCCGAGTCATTTCGAAACTGTTCACCGGCCGATTCTTGCTGCAGTGCTCGTAGTGCACGACGTACAAGTCTCCACAAGTACAGAGTAGTGGGAACTGACAAGGATTCATCCGAGCATGTATCTCCCGAGATCTTGAGGACTGCTTTGCGAACCACGGAGCATTCTGAGAGATGGCCGTCAACGTGCAAGGTGAGGGCGACGAGAGATGGTGTCGCTCCCCCAGAAGCCTCTGTAGGCGAAGCTTTGGAGATAGATGTTGGCACCGGTCGTGGTTGGTAACCCAGAGGTAGTCGATACACGTTCGGCAGGAGTTCTACCGAAGACCGCGGAAGGCCACACAGATCCGAGTAGTAGGATTGTATAAGCGGAAAGAGGTCGTGCTCGATCCCAGATGGTAGAAGACAACGTGATACGTCATCAGCTGGGTTCCACGAGCCCGCCAAATGTGAGATGTAGGTCGCGATACCAGCTTGTTCTAGACGGTGTAAACAGTTGTTGATTGCAACAAGGCGGCGCAAGGTGACTAGGTCCTTCGCGCAGGTAGCCGTCAATGGCAGGCGACGTCGCAAACGCCCAATATTCGCACTGTTATCGGTGAAAACCAGGAGACAATGACAAGGACTGTGATCCAAGGTCTCAGCCAGATGGATGGAAGCCCATAGTAATATTGTAGCTAACGTGTCCAGTTCGAATGTAGGAGCAGCTTTGTTGAGCGTGCCGTCCTGATGTAAGAAACCGCGGGCCGCAATGCGACTACCCATTATAGTAGTGAGAATAGCTTGCTTCTCGAATGGGAGAATCAACCTAGTACAGTGCACGATGGTGATGCTCTCTATGTATAAGTAATATCTAGCAGAATAATGGCTCCTCGAGATGCTTATCCTCTACAGTTCTGTACATCAGAAATCAACTAGTTTGGTTCGAAGTTCGATGGTGCGGCCTCCATTATGCAGGCTTTCCCTATCGTGTGATATTCCAATGATCGTAGTACGATCATCGCACGTCCTGAGCTACCTCCCTCGTGGCCTCCAACGATCGCCCGGGAGCTCTCTACCGTCACCAATGCGCAAACATAGTCTAGAAACTTTGCTGAGGCCGCTCACTTACGAGAGGATTGAGAACACTGCAAGGTTCATTTGAAAAAGGTAAGACATAAAAATACAGTGGTGAATGTATCAGAAGGCCTTGTTTGAAGAACACCAATTGAAACTTGATGACTATCCGAATATCCTCGCGAAGAAGGATTGTTCACGGCGACGACTTTCTCGTTCCTTCACAGCGATCTCGTGCCGAAGCTTTCTTATCTCATGGAGACCTGAAAGGGTTACACTTATGCCTTCCAATATAATCAGTTATTGAGAGTACAAGGCCAGCCCAACTCTGGCCCTGTAGACCTGGGAGGGTGATAGCAGTCAACAGAATGTGCCTACCAGAGGGTCCGATATCCCGATGATGCTCAGCAATACTCAAGTCGTCTCGACAGCCATTGAAGTCGTTCAGCTCGAACTTACAGCGTGCTCGTCGCAAGATAGCTTTCAGTAGATAAGGCTCAAGCTCGAGTGCCGAGTTACCTACAAACGATACCAGAGGATCCGCATCAACAATGCGAGATGTTGCTCTCACTAGCCGCGAGACCATCCGCCCAACTGGACAGCTTTATATGGCAAGCAGTCATGTTACTGTAGGTAATCGCCGCACACTCCCGCCTGAAAACCGATGACACGATCCCTCTAAAGCCACGCACCGAGTAGCCTCAGTACAACGAACACTCACCGTTCCCTTTCCAATTCATCGCTCTCCTCAGTAGAGTTGTATCGTAGTAAGTCTAACACCTCGCTATATAACACTAGAGCTGTCTGGTACCTAACTGAAGGGAATACACAGCAACATCATGCAGCGATCTCACCGTGATTCCCGGAAGGCATCATTGGCATGTTGTCTCTTACTATTAGCTCTATCTATCCGCCCTCTGATCTCCTCTATCGTTATGATCGTCGTTGGCGCCTGAAAATTAGACCAGTGTACCAAACGCCAAAGTTCGCCGAGGTGTGGTATTCTCGTCGCACCTCATCCTCTCGCTGAGAGCCGAACAATCGAGATCTCAGCGGTCGAGAGAGACCACCATTAAGTAGATTGTTGCTACAGTCGCGCTTCAACGTATCTGCCCACAACGACTATCAACATCTCGAGGAAAGGACAAGCAGTAGCTGACGTCGGATAGTCCCAGTGTGCCACAGCTTAACGTCGCTGTCTATACCGCTAGTTAGTAGGAAAGGTTCTCCTAGGGGATGGGGGGCTGAAGGAAAGCAACAAGGAAACCCTACATATACTAGCACGAGCGGGCGTGTTCACAGGAGGAAGTTAAGGAGGAGTGGTATCACGCGACTCACCCACACAATTAACGACGAACGTATCGGCTTTGATCTTCCGCTGGAGCCTCTGCGTACAGCGATCCCAGATGTATACATGACCGCAATCTCCTCCCGTTGCGACGTACCTACACTGACCTCAGCAATGACCAACTGCATGAAAGGGTACTCACCGGTCTCCATTCAGCATGCAACATTCCTTAGCGAAGGTCTCCTCATTCCTCCTCCCAGTGTAGACCCTCAGGTTAGAAGTCTCCACTGCTACCACACTCTTGCTGCCTATGGACGACGCCGGGGACGTACTCGGCCTCGTACGCTCAACCTATACAACTGAACGATAATAGACGCCCTTTGATTAGAAGGCCTTGACCAACCCACCTTATCCAAGCTCTTGATCTCATACATATCAGAGCCCCTGTAGTTGAGGAGGAGGCTGTTGCCATCCTTGGACCACCACAGGCCAGATAGCGCTAGATCGTCGGGGTCGGTAGCATCTGCTGGAGGCGTGGTAGCGACGAGCACGCAGGCCACTGAGCGCACCTTCCATCACTGTCTCGGGGTAGAACTGTTGCACAGCCATCTGACTAACGTCATGGCAAACATCAGCTTCCAAAGCCGAGCGTATCATCCGCATGTCGAAAGTCCGGACTACTTTGGAGCACTCCCCGAGGGCAAAGAGGTAGGGCTGGACAGGATTGAAGCCGATAGCCTGAGGGACCCCACAGGGGAGGGTCGATGAGGGAACTACTGCAGCTTCTCTTACTGTTGACATATTGACGGCGCGAGAGGAGGGCTCTTGAAAGTTGTTAACATTGAAAAGACGCTGAGAGACACAGGCCGGTCATGGAGGGTAGAAAAAGAGATAGTATCCCAGCAGGCGTATTAAATACTTTCTAATCGCGTTTGCCATGGTTGATAGTAATTGACCGTCAATTACTATCAACCATGCGACAATTATTGACGCATAGACTATGAACGACTCGACTCACCACGCCACCACCCCTCCCTCTGTTTTCCAAAGACGGCGGGATTCCCTCACGCAGATCGATCTACAAAGGCCGTGCAGTGTGACAAATAAGCCTAGAGTTGGTGTACTTGCCGAACGCCTCCATCTTGCTTAGTGAGGAGTACGAGTTGAGGACAGAATGGGGCATGACAGTGCTTGAAACAGATCCCTGGGCAACTATGGAGGACCTGCGCACAACAACTGTTGATAGAAGAACCCATCACGAGAGCTGGGTAGCAGACCCTAGTAGTGGCAGTCTCCACGTCGATATCACGCAGTTCCCCATCGCCAGCACAGGTCACCACCTACACTCGAGCTGAGAAGGGTAACCTCCCATCACCTTACTTCGCGACTACAGCTCCCTGGTACGAAGGTAGCGCAGAAAATGTTGTGGGAATGCCCTGTCTCAAGGGTGGTGACACCTGTGGTGACACCACTACTCGACTGTACCTCAAAGGCCCACGTACACTTCCACTGAGAGGAGCCTCCTTGCTCGCGCCATATTCGCACATCTTTATCGTCACTACCACTGATCACGAAGGCACCTGATGAGCCTCAATTGCAGCTGGGCCGACTGGGGCCAAAGCGAACAGGCACGAGAGTGCTCTCACTAGCTTTCCCTCACTACCATCCTCCGACCATAGTACGGAGTTAACACATCCCCGATGACCCTCCAACTTGGCCCCCAAAGAGTACCGCTCTATCCAGTCCTTGCAGCCCAATACCCCTCTACGATTGAAGTCCACGAAGGCCGACCACCGCGTGAGATGGTGATAGACACTTCCTTGGTAATCCTCACTGCCCCAGGGGGGTCCAGGCGAGCCCCTCCCTCGCAGTACCGATGTTTCCATCACAATCAATAAAAGTACTACCGACGAGACTTAGTCATCATCACTACGGAAGGCTGATTCGCCGTTCGCTGTCTTCCTATTATCTTTCCTAATCGTTCCCAACTATGACTCCCTACTATAAACGCAAGATGGTGATTCACGAAAGAGAGGAACATCTCCTAGGTCTTTCATGCTCACATAGTCGGCGAGCCCGCCGGAACTTGGCAGCCATGGAGTGCCTATCGATACCCCCGACTCACCGCATCGACCAGCTGAAAGAATACATAGAGAGGGAGCGGCATGCTCGTCCAGCACAGAGGGACGTGTAAAGGCTGTGACTGCTAAGCGGTACTCTCGAACACGCGATGTTTGTTCGCCGATTGCAAGAGTTGAGAATGGAATGGTATGGGAATGTGCGCGCCCGCCCAATGTCAAGATTCTTGACTCAAAAAGGCCATCCTCGTCCATTCCCCTTAGCTCAGCTCCAGTGTAATGGTATTGAAAACAACTCTCACTGCGGCTGGGTACCGCGAGGAGGTCGATAGCCGAGTGAGGAGGACAGGTAAGCACCGTCGAGCACCATCCATAACCTATTGTGCCCATCCACAACCCTCGGGCCCCCATCGTTCGAGGATAACGACGTTTCCACATTGATAATTATACAGCGTCACTCAGGCTACACACATAATTACTGTTTCGACGGTACCTGGAAGCCCTCTTCCTTCACCTCAAACGCTGACTGTGAGCCCCCTTCTACCCCTAGTTCAAGCATCATGCTAGTTGGCATCAGGCTCCCCGTCTAGCAGTGAGCCCTCCCATCCTTCCCTGTGGCGCGTCGAGGACAGTCGGCAGATCCAAGCTGTATTCGTACACTCCTCTAGCTCCTCAGCTACTGTGGCCATGCAGATATGTCGAGACGCGGATGATCGAAGCACGCAACGCACGCGAGTGGCACTTCCTGGTTATCGGGGGTACATCCCTGGCAAGGCCTCCGAGACAGTACGACTGCACAAGGCTGGCTGCCTGGCATCACATGCTAAGCCTTTCGCAGGTTTTTGGTTCACGATTCACCGAAGCTAATAATATAGCGTCGGATCAGCGAGTTTATGTTCCCAATGTACCGACGCAAGGGGATTATTCAGGTAAGGAGATTATGTGATATCCTCGTCATGGACCTGCTACTAACACTATTCTGTTGAGCCGCGTTGGTGGTTGACACTTCCAAGGTGGCTGAGCGGTGATGAAGTGTAACAGCTTGTGTGACTTCGAGAAGTTGGAAGAATGATGTTTATGTGTTATTGGGCCTTGTTGTTGCCTCAGCTGATGGTGATACATACGAGTCCAGAGAAGGCAAAAAGAGCTTCAAGCGAATAGTCCGTGGTAGCTTGTCGGGAAATGCGAATCTTACGAAGACTTCGAACATGTGAAAGATACTGATTTGAAGCATAGCATGAACTACGGAGAAGCCCGAGACACTGCCCAGCAACTCGGTCTGCATAGTGGGACTAACCTATTCAAAGACCACGCTGTAAGGGGTACTCTCATCTGTCGTATTTAGGAGGGTTTCCGATAATACTCGGCCCCCTAATTTGAGCATTTCCAGTTCCTCTAGGTCCCACCGGTTAGACAACGTTCATTCTCTTCCTTGGCCGTTCCAGGATACACCGGCGTCATTCCAGGGGTAGGTAGCCTCATGGAAGGAACGTCCCGAGGATAGTCGCCTCTTATATCCTCAGTTCAAGGCTGAGTCCCATGTCCCATGCTCGCGAGATGCATCAGAGGCCAACAAAGACCGTCGAGAGTATGGTGCCTCCACCTCTGTCCCCCCATCCTTTTCTCGTAGGCATCTGCGACAGTCCGGAGTGCGTCATACTATATACGGCCGAGCCATCCCTAGCTACGCCGGGTGAGCTTGATGTTCTCTGTTGTGCTCGATATTCATCGTTATCAGGTTTATCCCGGGGCAAACGTCTGAGTCCGTTTTCGGCAAGACTTTCATGCGTAGTCACCGCAAAGCTTTGCACACACGTTCTTACCACATGTCACGTGATTCTGAGGCTCCTCCTAAACAGTACGTTCGCCTTTGAACACCACTACTAGCCTTGCGTCATAGTAACATAGCGAAAAGCTACACTGTTCGCAATAGGGGGATACTGATAACCGTGAATGCGACCAAACTGTGTAAGCTGCAAATTCTCTGAATTGCTGGGCTTCGATCACTTCGAACACAACGGCTGAAGTTAAAACAGTGAAAAAAGTTCGTCGATGCATTGTCGACGGTGGTACCAGAATTGTGTGGTTTATGTTCTAAAGGTCAACAGTATTGTTATCAGATGGTATTGCAGGCGCCTTTTTAGGCCATACAAATCTTCTTCTGGCCTTGTCTGATATACTCCTCTTTGCGAAGATTTCCCGCCCGGAAGGCTACGATCCCGACGGTGACCAGAACGACCTCGACCCAGTCTAACCAGGTCACAGTAGAAGGTCCAAGCACCGGCCAGCTAAACATGAAGCAATCCCAAGCACCTCTTCGCCAAGTCACTTACTCGATAGAGAATAGAATAGCCGAGGCCGGCGTGACAGCCTTAAGGCTGACGAATGCCAACAGTGCTGAGCCTCTTTGCACGAGGAAGAGCAACGCTGCGTTGTACAGGAGGTTCACGCAGATGTAACCGCTGTACCTGAGAGGAGCCGAGGATGCCGTATGGAGTCTCTACGGCTATCACGCACAGCTGCCAAGCATTAGGACAGCCTCCGACGAAACAGTAGCTGGCCTCATGGAGATATTCGAACAACCCTAGGCCATGGGTTTTCCCTATGGCTGGGCCGATCGCTAGTAACTATCGCAGGGGTAGCAGCATAACGAGATGAGAGAGCGCCTACAGGGAGAAGCCAAACGACTTGGAAGACGGACACACAGCAGTTGACAACGAATACATCTAGCTTGCGTGGGCTTGACCTGAAAGGCCTGATGGCAAAAGTTCAGCTGACTCAGCTGCCTCACCGTTGGTCTGCTAGGAGTGGCTCACGAGCGGCTGACGTCTGCCATGCTACGAACGCTCGGAATACCTTCTCCTTGAGGACCTGTGATTGATATGTTATATTGTCCATGTGTGGCGTATCTTACGAAGGAGAGAGCGTTCCCGGAGGTGCTGAGGGCAATCAGAGCCGCCATGAAGGGGTCCGAATGGGAAGCACTAAAGTTGTGCATGGACATGCATACAGCGAGGAGAACCTCCAAAGGGTAGCATAGCTAGAGTGTCACACCGAAAGGGGGTTCTTACGATGAGGACTCCTATGAGCTCCAGGCTTATGTAGCGAGTTCCCAGAATAAGCAATGAGAAGATCACAGTAAATGGTACCTGCTAGGAGGCTGGAATGATCGAGGACCCGAGACTCTTACTATAGCCTGGTTCATCAGCGAATACATCACTCCACTGACATACGGCTGGCCAATGAAGCCCAGCAAGCCGCCGATCGCTAAAGGAGAGGCAATATCGGTGATAGGAACTAGAGTAGCTTACCATCCCCTAGGCCGCCGAACATAAGCAAATTCCATTTCCCATGAACTGACCATACGAAATCTGCTTGCTCCTTTGGGGTCACTCTCAGAGCATACCGTCGGGTGAGGAATATCTAGTCAACAATACAGCAGAGGTTTGTTGCCCACTCGGAGTCGATACCGACTGATACTTACACTGCTCCAAACGATAACGTAAACAAGAGCGTTGAGAACAGCAGTGAAGAAGTCGTACTCACCCAGTGGGACCTGAGCTCAACGGTGAACCCGCGACTCTGTCGAGGACTCCTACAGCACGCATACGGCCCAAGAGGTTGTTGAAGGCCCCCAGGATAACCACAGCTGTCATCAACAACGGCACAACGTAGTCACAGCTCTCCGTATGTGGAAGGGCCGATGACTCCAGGTTGCTGTCTCCGTCGACCGAGGTAGAGGAATGGACCATCGGGTGGGAAGGGCAATGAGCTAGCCTTGATAAGATCTACATAATAGTTGTTTATAACAACCTCTGACCTTACAGCACAACCCGAGAGTAAAGGAAGTATTCATTCATGCAGGGTGGTGTTCTTCAGACAAGTTCATAATGCTGATGACGTCATCTTTGACAGGGCTTGGCTTTGAAAATCTGAGACGGGAATAATTCGCCCCAGCAAAATCACTGTTGACGAAGATGAATTTGTGGTGGCATTGCTAGGCCTCAAGCTCGTTGTTAGGGGAGCTTTCACAGAGAACACAGTGAACACAGCGAATTTCTATGGGAGGACATCCATGCTCAATACCATAATGGTCGTGACAAGTCGTCACTATAGTCTACACGTGACAGTCTGTAGTCTACATTGTCGTCACTGACGACGACCTCTTCTAGGAAATTCAATGGCTCATCGCTACAACGATCCACCCTTGAGCATGGTACGAGTCTCACCAACGAAATGATGATGAAGAGCCGATCAATAGGGTTTAGATTCCCTCCAGTGTGGGAGGAGATTAACCTAATACCTTATATGCGTAGTCCCCGACTTACACATATGACCGCATCTTCGTTCACGCATTTATTGTACAAGCTGAAGCGAACGCCTTCAGGGACGACTATGGTTGTATGGGGCTCGCAGAGTATTCTAGATAGTAAGGAATTCATCATGAAAATGAAGGTGGCGACAGATACCAACCTCGTATTCTCTCCCATAAGGCACTCGAGTTCGTCCACTGCACAGTGAATAACCGTTATGAAGACATCGCCGATACAATGGCGATCCTCGGGGAGCGAATATCCCTAATACCGATCCAAGAGAACTGAGAGACCCAAGGGGCACCTACCCCTTGGATTTGGACAAGATGTGGGATTAAGTCGACGAAGCCTCGCTTGTCCGGGAAGATAGGCACGGACGAGACGCCAACCCCGAGCTCGTATTCAGGTTGGCCCAGCTTCCTGGAACACATCACGCACAGGGAAGAATGCGATATGGTATCTTACCTGGCCTCAAGGTCACGATAGGCGATTACTTTCACCTTCCCGAACTCAGCCGGTGGGTCGATGGTACGTATCTGAGTCAAGACCCCGCACTGAGGGCCCCGAAGGCATGATCAGTAGCCAGTATTACGTGGATCTGATTGCTCTTCCGAGTAGGGGCTGATCGCCTGAACTTCTTCCATCCTCGCGTTGAGAGAGCCGATGTGGTCGGCCGCTCCTTCTCCTCGATCACATCAGACGCTTCATAGTCTTGCTCGAGGCTTGGTGCCATAACAATAACTGGATCTATGTGATGACCCCTTTACTGTCCTCCGTAACCCAAGGCAGCAGAAGAAAGGACACACAGCTCATGGTGACTGAGAATAGGATTCCACCTCCCCTGAAGGCATCTATGGAATAAGAGTCAACATCTCGCTGTATAATTGACCCATCATCACCCACAGAACTGATCTCAGTAGTAGGCGCCCCGTAATCTCTGCTAGTGTCGCCATATCAAAACCTGAGTTCCCGAACAGTTGGCCGACACCACACATAGGGGGGAAGTCAGTCCCAATCCATTGGTCCACGACAACAAAGAAATCAGCATTCCTCTCTCTGATGGCAATATGCAAAGGCGATCGGACCTAGAGGGCCTCAGCCGGGGCAGTTGACCTAGTCAACACCAACAGCCTCACCACAGAGTGTGTTGGCCTAGCGAATAATGATGAAAATCAGAACACCCAGGAGGGCACTAAGGGCCGTATGAATAGCAGCGGCAACAGCAGTCTTCCCTTGCTCGACTGCATTAAAGATCCTTGCTCGCGATCCCCACAGTAAGGCAGGCCGAGGACGGTAGTGAACATATATGGCAGAGGGCGGCCTCGACCCGGTCGGCCCCACCAACTCTATGCATGCCCAGTGGAAAAGTTTGGTCAGCGCTCGCCACAAGGTAGTTGGTACCAATGGCTCGGCGAACAGCAGGTATACAGATGACGGGCTCAGAAGTGGTTAGCAATGTAGGGATAGAACCATCATCGCCCTCCACTAGCTTGATGAGAGAGATACCATAAACCCTCGAGGCTACAGCAACCTTGGTTCAGCCCACCGCCTTGTCGCAGGTCTTACAGTGCACCGTAAGGGAAACAGTGCAATAGGAATTATTCCAATAACTATGGGAGGCCCTATGATGCGTCGAGTAGAAACGCGAGACACCTACCAGCATTAACAGCATACTACTACAACACCACAACGGTCAGGGATGGGTTAGACATGTTCCATGCTAATAGGCTTGCGTACGGTTACCATACCACTCCTTCGCCACTTCAGCCTACTATGAGGCCATATTAGCATAGAATGATGCATGCACTTTGAAATAATGATGGTTACAATTGTGAGGTAGCAGCAGCAGCTAAGACAAAAGGATACTGATGATAGTGTACTGCTTGGCAGTAGTGCTACTATACGACGAGATACTAAGCCTTGTGAACACCCTCAACTTGTCATACTATCCTTCATACTCTAATCGGCTACTACGACCACGTAGTGGCTATCTAGACTGATAATAATCTAACAAAAACTATCATCATCATCAGCAGACAAGCACTCACCTCTGTGAAGACATTCGCAAGCAACTTGTCTCAGAGGCGGATAATCGTCGAAGGATGAGCCGTCGTCATCTGTTGCGGCTGTGGGTGATGTAACCATACGGACGATAGCAAACCAGGATTAGTGATGATTCTGCTGCCCACCAAGGGTGATGGAGGAACCGAAGGGCCTGCTGCCATCGGCCAAGACACAACCTGACAAGTGGTGCACTCTGCCATCGCTAACTTGCGACGGCTACCCACCGGCCTTGGGTTGGTCTGATGAGAGACTGCGTGGCTGCGTTGCTGCTGGGCCGCTCTATTGGTAGCACTCATGATCATCCGAGTGCCCATCACTGGACTAGCCGGCATAGCCCCTATCGCTCTGGTCGCCGGCTGGACCCTCACCGTGAAGGGCTGCGATACCGTCACGGATTGCTGTGGTTGATACGGAGCAGAGAAAAGGCTCGGTGTCAACGGAGGTAGGCCAAGTTGGAAAATCTGTCGATGGGCCACTGCTGGTGTCGGCGGTATGACCGGCGAGCCCATATATATAGCACGTTGGCTCGAGGCGTGATGCGATGTGGTAGTAGTTGCTGCCATCGAGGGGGTCGCTGTAACTGACAGGAAAGACGATGGGCTGAATTCCCTATGGCTATCAGCTTCACCTGGACCGCCATAAACGTATCTTCCAGTGTAGGGTCCGGTCATCGAGGCGCCCTGTACTACAGTACTACGATTCGGCGGTGACGGCTGAGACCTCGTCACCACCACACGATGCCTCCCTTCAGCTTCCTCATGGCGAGGTGCAGTATCGACAACTGACTTGTCCGTTCGAGTAGTATCATATACCCGCATCGGCGTGCCAGGGAACCTCTGCGAGTCCGACAGAGTCCTGGGTTGCTGGTAGGCCACAGCTGCCGAGTGAGAGGTCGCCACCGGTGGTGGAGGGGCTTGGAAGGCTCCAGTGATCTTATTGCTGGGATCAAGCACTCCACCGTCCTCAGGGATGGTCGCAGCAGCTAAGGCCAGTTGGTTGGCCACACCACACTCCTCCATTTCCACGCCATCGAAGCCCGCCCAGGAGGGTATCTCCTCGCTGTACTTGTGGAGGAGGGAAGGCACTGACACTCTGGTGACTATGAGCTCTTGGAAAAGTGGCAATAGGTCGTAAAGTGCCGTATCGTCTCGCTCGCTATACCACGGGTATATAAATATGCCATTCTCAGGTTGCAACATGAAGTTCTCCTTCACGTTATCGAGTATTATGCTTCTGTCCAGCTTCCGACCAAGCCTAGCCAAATCCTTGATGAAGATAGGCCCCCAAGGGAGGGCATGCTGACGATAGAGTCGGTGGTGCACGACCACACCTCGCAGGGTCTCCAGCTGGTCCACCACCCAATCGGCATAGTCCTGTGTCGCGGCTGTGAATACCACAATTTCATAACCCAAAGCGTTCAGGCCTGACAGGAACTCGACACACCCCGGTCTCATCTCAAAGCGGCCACCACTGCCGCCCTCCACCTCCGAGTAGTGAACCAAGGTCTCGTCAAGGTCAATGACAGCTGTATATCCCGACACACCACAATGCTGTGGGGGCAGTAAGGGTCTCATCCTAATGAGATGGGGTAGCATCGGGGGCAAAGGCTCGAAGTAAGCCGTGATGGCCGCCGCGACAGAAGCTCGGCTGTCAGAAGCCGTTGGCACCTTCTCATATCTCTCGTACACCGGGCCTTCTACCGGACGGAACCTCAAGCTTTGGAGAAACTTACTTCGAATGTTGCTGAGGGAGTTCTTATGGGCCATATCGAGGACCTCTGTGACCAGAGCGGCGACCTGGCCCCCCAAGGAGTTCATAGCTGAGCTTGGCCGACGCCCTCGAGTGGTGGGTGCGCCAGACAGAGTTCGGCACACCTGTCTAAGGAGGTTCTCAGCCTCGCTGTTGTTCTGCGAGAGAGCGTTGGAATGGCCCGCCTTTCCCATTGCCCTGTAACGCTTGGCAAGGTAGAGGATGTTGAGGTCAAAGTTGACTATACTGTACGGGTTCGTCTCCAAGTCGCCGGGGAACTCTACTGCTTTCTGACATACGTAGTCGATGAGGAGAAGGACGTTCTCATGGACGTGCTGGAGTAGGGCTCGTAGACGAGCCTTCACCACCAGCGGGACTAGTTGGGCCCAGTCACTGGTCTGCGCTGTGACCGCACATACACCAGCACACACGGCCACGGCACACATCTCGAGGACCATAGCCATCTTAATTTGCCTCTTGAGGCGACCCTCGACCGAAGCCACAGAGGAGGAGTACTTGGCCATAGTGAGGCCAGCATCGAGGGCAGCTGTATTGAAGTACTCCCGACAGAAGAAGGACACATGGGTGGCGTCACAGCGCACTCCGTCCAAGAGGTTGAAGGCCACGTGCTCCGCGCAGCTCAACTGTTGCAACATGATATTCAATAGCTTCTCGGCTCTCACAGGTGTCTTCTGGTAGATTGTCCCTTGAGTGTCACCACCAGGCCCACCAGTGTCACCAGCCACCACGTCGACCCTAGAGCTGTCCTCCAGGGCACTACAATGCTTGCTATCAGTCATGAAGACAGTAGAGACATCGTTGCTGACCGAAGAGAGTCTTCTTGAGGGGACAGTACGAAGACGAGAAGTGGAGCCTCGGTGCATGGTGATGTTGGAGTCGGTGAACGAGCTTGTGCGTACGACCATGAGATGCCTCTTGTAGTGGTTGATTGGGTAGTAACCAAAGAACCCCTGACACATGCGTGCATTTCTAAGTTTCTATATCACTGAGCTGACGACGATGCCTAACCCGTGGACGCGACTATACCACACCTTCTACACTTCCGACAACTACCCCACCCCGAAGTTGGTATACTCTGACTGAACCCAGCAGCCTCCTAATATTGAAGAAAACGCGAAGCCACGGTAAGAGAAGTATGCAGAGTAACGATCACAAATCTAACATATTCCAGTTGAATCCATCTATGGCTTTACCGAACATTTCGAGTATACTTGAGGGCTGCTATCAAGGCCTACTCGGCGGACTCCTCGGAGGGCTTCGTGGAACTACTCACCGACGACTCGTCGACTGCCTTTGACGACGAGTATGGACCATCAAGTGCATTGGCCAAGAACTCGAATGTCACACGGTTCTTCCAACTACGGCAAAGAGGACCTGTCAAGAGACCGAAGCTTACACACATAGGCATTAGTTCTAACCTTTACTACCACTAAAGAAGCCACAATGGCCACCCCGAGGGCATCTAGCCACAACACAGCCTGCACTGTCCTTGGCTTCAGCCTCATATTCCCATGTCGAGTAAGGCGGTACTACTGGATCATCATCAGCATACAGTAGTAGTGTCGGCGTCTCTATCATCGAGAGCGCCTTCAGCCCGTAAAGGCTCATCTCACGGGCGTACTCCTCTACTGTTTTATACCCGAGGAATTTGATCGTCACAAGGTTGTGCCAAACCCAAGCGTTGGCCGGCAATAACATGTTATAAAATTCCTTGGCACTTTGCCGCTGAGACATAACCTCGTCAATCAACATCAACTGCTTGTCACCCAAGGTGTCTCGCCACCTCGACTCGGGACTTTCCACATACTTTTTCATGTTCTTCCACAGGACACTCATGTTGATCCAATCATAGGGTAGAGGCTTGAGATGGTACATACGGTTGAGGGCAGTCTCGTAGGAGCACGGCCCAGAGATGCACACCACCCCTGCGACGATACCCTTGAGCTCCTCCTTGTAGTAGCCCACAAGAGACGACATAGTACTAGCTCCTAGAGAGAAGCCACAACCAAGCACCTTGGCTTGAGGATATCTTTTATGGATATGCTGAATACATTGATACAGATCATTTACGCTGCGTGCGTCCCATGCTTCGGGGACTTGCTTCTCGTCTGTGAGTTCCGAGTCACCAAAGCCGCGCCAATTCTTACATACAAATCGCCACTTCCGACGACAACGACAATAGTGGATCAGAGACTTCATATAGGGGTTGTGAGACTCACCTACTACTCCAGGTAGGAGGATTAGGATGGGCGCATCTTCAGGGACGTCCTCAGACTCCACTGACCAATCTAGCGCGATAGTGCCGCCGTCCTCTAGGGTCAAATCCTCTCTTTCGAACTCCACCGTGTCCCTCCTCAGCGCCAGGGACATTCCGGGCCAGAATGCAAACATGGTCGACTGACTGTGGCCGTCGAAGGCCCCAAAGGTCGGCCAAAAGCCCTTCCTCAGTGTATGGCATCTTCTGACGATCCACGCTATCCCTTCCGAGAACTGTAGCCTAGGCGTGGAATGCCCGGTCCAGACGTACCAAGACACTCCAAGAATGACGAAGAGGAGGAAGCAGTTCCATAGCCATTTCAAGAGGCCGGCCTGAAGCATATAGTTGCCACATTGGAGACAGTCGACGCAGGTGTCGGGTAAGGGCTTGTAGTAGGTCAGGGCGTAGAAGGCGAGAAGGAGGGCGGCATAGGTGATGAAGGCGAAAACCCCGAAGAATGGGATCGCCAGTGAAAAGTAGAATAACATCGCCTACAGTGGAATAACTCTGCTTACGGGGTTTTATTCGGAAGCCACGGCTCAGAGGGAGGTTCAGGACAGCCCTGCCTTGAGCGCCCGCCTTCGCTGACTAGAGACGATGACGAGTGGGACCTCAGGGAATGGTAATGTCGTTCGCCTAAAATGCAGTAAACTGTCTATTGAGATAATCGTACCTGCGCTGCGACTCTGATAGCGCAGCGGAGCGAAGCATTTCATATTTCTGAATAATCGAACGTGGTCACCTGACAAAACTTACACCCCATTAAGCCCAGCTTCGGAACAGATCCAACGCGCTCTGGTGTCAACTATAGTAGAAATACTAGAGGCGGCAGCGGCCCTCATTTTGTTCTATCGGTTCCCTGTCCTTGCCGCTTCCCATGTAAACCTTCATCTTTCTCATTATCTCATTACTCCGCAGTTTCTAGAGCCTAACTGGTCCTCGCGTTGAGTGCTCAATACCGATAATAGGGCCCTCTTAGGATTGCGTAACACTTGCCGCAATGTCCGCGGAGCTCCTTCGCCAACTTCAAGTCTTCAAGGCGAAGCATAACATAGCTCAGCAACCCAAGCATGGGAAGGTAGCCCTACTGCCCCCCCCCGCTCACCGATAAGTGCCCCCCAGGTGTCCTTCCTCTACGACTGGCGCGATGCGAGGACGGTCGAGCCACAAGCCATTGCCGAGGCTGCGGTAGGAAGGACGAAGTTGAAGTCATTGGATTCTGGCTGATCAGTTGTCGTGCTTCCAAGACCTAGTAGCCCAGGACCCCACCTTAGAGCAGTTCGCCGCTCTATTTGAGGTGGAGAAGGAGGGCTACAAAGGCAGAGACTTCCTCACTACTGAGGAGAATGATGACCTCAACAATACGATAGAAAGGCTGCTTATGCACTTGTCCAAGCATCTCCTCACCGAGCAGGGCCAGACTTGTCTCGAGCTGCTTGTACGTCGCATTGGAATATTACCTATTCAAATCATTACTCTTAGGTCAGTCGCTATGAGGTCCAAACGTACAATATGGAGGCTCTACTGCTGGCCGGGATCCCGTACGTCCCCTCCCCGTTGGCCCCGATGGTTGAAGCGCGTTGGTTGTCTTTAGATTCCATGATAGTCCTGTGTTTGCTCGCCTCACTAAGATCGTCAAGTGGGGTGACGACTCGCAGTGGATCTTCCTTGATAAAGTCCGCAAAACCGGAGAGCCTCTCAAGAGGCAGCACTTAGTTCATATGGCGAGTAAGGGGACCTGTGGTTGGTACTCGATGACCTGTTATGCACATAGGGACATCCTCGTCACTGTGGCGCACTCTATGTGACTACACTCGTAAAACGTTGAAACGTGGGATCGTCAACCGTCCATTGCTGACTACCATTAACATGGTGAGAATATTATACTAGTACGAGCGTCTATTGGAGTTGGTGTAGGTGTTCTTGGAGGCCCTTTCGGAATCACATAAGTTCACATTCGACCTAGCGCCGGCTCTCTTCCCCTTGATCACAGCTGCTCTCAAGAAGGGCTCTACTGACCGTCAAGCCTTCTCATTTGCAGTGACCATGCTGATACCACTCATCGTTAGTAAGATTGGGATTTCAACCCGTAGCCGCCAAGTGCATCCTGTCGATGGCATTGCTTGGACGAAGTAAACCCGTTGCCATATTCAGGCTCCAGCTTCACAGATGCTGATCTGTGCAGTGTACTTGCTAGGGCCGTGAAGCATGCCCTTCTCCCAGCGTTTGCGGTAGGTCATCGTATCGTGGGTAGCAGTATGGGCGACATACGTCGTGTCAGGAAGTTGTTGACATTCTAGCCCTTGGCTTGAGGTTCTCCCAAAGAGAGGGTAATTTCTGGATCAAGGTTGCTAGGGAGCTCAACGCTCGTTTCGACACTCACTCAGATCAGGTAGTCCTCTCTTTGTGGACCCTCATAGAGCGATAAGCCGCACTTCAGGTGTTGGAGGCCATTGGCAAGTCCAGGGGCTGGACCCTCGTGTTGAGTGGATTGATACTTCCTTATGGTGCATCCTCAATCTTGTCAGCTGTGGTGTCCTCTGGTTGGCTCCTGCGTGCTTCTACCGTGGCTGCTCTGAGTGTATGCGACTCGGCTGTGGCCATCATTGCTAACGGCCCTAAGGAATCCCACGTCGAGGAGGTAAGTCGAAAACACCTCTAGAGTCACCTTATGGTTGGTTGACAGATACTACCCCAGCTGTATGACACTTTCCCTGTTGCTGTGAGTCGCTGTGCTCTGAAGCATAAGTGTGTGAAAGAAGTGGAGTCACTCTTGCCGGGCGGGCATGTCTTGGATGCTCAACTGCTTCGTCATTTGTCCACGACATCAGCATCTGCTCGGGAGGAGGCGATCTCCCAATTGGTCGATCGTGACAATACGACGGGAGGGGAGGCGAAGGCCGTGGCTGGGCTGCTGGTGGAGCGCCTCGGGGTTGAGCCTTCACATGTTATCAGGATGAAGATCCTCAATTCTGGTTGGGTTTGGAAGGCCGTCTCGGCTGAGGCCAAGAATGTGGCTCTTGTGGGGATGTTGAAGATGCTGATGCCCCCGAGGGAGCGCATCACGCCCAAGCAGTACTGGGAAGAGGTAGTAGCATTGTCGCGGCGTGCGGTCTTAGGTCGGTAGTTACCTCACCGCGACTCAGGTTGTCGCCGTTGACGAGCGTATCGTGGAGGAAGTCGAGGCAGTACTGTCTCTACTGAGTGGCGAGGCCATCCCTTCTGTGACCGCTGTTAGGGTCATGAAGGGCGACGATCTGCCTGGTCATGGCATGCCGTCTGCTACTGAGACCTATCCTGGAGGGCCAGCGGGTGCTGCTGCGTTGATCCAGGCGTCTGTGATGGGGGGTAATGGAGCCCCAGATGCACACGAAGTTGTGGAGATCATTGAGAGCCTTGGCCTCGATAGGTCTGTTGATGCTCGTGTCTATGCTAAGTTGATATCTCTGACAACAGCAGAGGAGGACATTGGGAAGCTCATAGGGCTCATGATTAACAACCCGTCGTGCAAGGAGATGGTCAAGAATGCTGTGACGGTCGCTACCAAGCGGCCAGTGTTGTTGGCCTTGGCAGTGGGGCAGCATAGCTTCAAGGCCCTTCGAATGTACACTGAGCTGGCGGGAGCTAAGGCTAATGACAACGCGCTCTTCCTCGCGTGTCTTCTTATACTGGGTTCTGATGCCTCTAGCAAGCACATGAGGTCTTCTGCGGTGTCGGTGATAGTGTCGAGGACGAAGGTCCCGGTGGCTGCGGCTAAGGACTCTTGGCTGTTGGTGAATAGAGGCATGGAGAAGACCATAGAAGGGAAGGCTTACACTGCATTGAGGAAGGCATTGAATGAGCGAGAGGCTGATGCTGTTGGCTCTACGGCAGTCGTGAGGGAGATCATTGCTGCCAATGGGGGACTTATAAGGTGGATTGTTGAGGTCTCTGGAGCAGTTGGTAAGCAAATAATGTGTGCTCTATGACGGATTGATTTTTCTTGTAGGTGAAGACCTGCAGAAGGAATGTATGGGTCTCCTGCGTATGGTCGATTCGCGGTCTCTCCTTGTCAACGGTGCAGTCCCTACTGCTACTGGTGCTGCTGTGGTTGCCTTGGGTGAAGCTTTGGAGAAGTGTGAAGACGATAAGGTCGTTGGGAAGTTCGCTGACATCGTTGTGGGCGGTACTGGAGCGGATATCTCGGACGACTTGCTTGGTGTGATGCCTAATGCCGGTTCTCGACTTAAGCCCAAGCAGTTGGAGAAGCTGGTGTCGCGGGCGTGCGCTACACTCCCTGGCCCAGGAGCCGTTCGCTTCTTGGCCCGTGCTGATGGGATATCAATGAGGGTAGCGGTTTTATCAGCTAGTGGTGAGGTGTTTAGTACTGTAATCAGGTTTTGGCAACGACGCTGCTACCGTTGATATCGGGTGAGGAGGCGGTGAATGCGGTCCTCGCTGGTGAGGCCCTGTTCCAGCAGACCACAGACCTCAAGCTTGCTGACAGAGAGGTCGCTCGGAAGGCTGTAGTCAAACCGTTATGCAAGTAAGTAAATTTCGTGAGCCGTCACGGATGAGACCTTTCTTCCACAGAGTGTTGTCCGGCCAAGAACCACGTGAAGCGGCCCTAGACCTTGTCTGCTTATCGATCCTCGGCAACGTGTGCCAGAAGGCCGATTTGGCGCTTGTGAAGCCGGTGGTCTTGCGAGCTGCAGCTGATAAACAGCAGCTCTCGGCTGCCCTGCGTCTCTGTGGAGCAATCAATAGCATAGATTTACTGAGGGAAGCCCTTGGCCAGATCAAGACCCCTCTGGAGACTCCTCAAACAGAACAGTTGAAGACAATCGTTAAGTCGATGGTTTCTGAGGAAGGTATTGCTGTGGTTTTGCGAGAGCTCACTCGACATGGTTGGTTGGCTGTTGTAGGTAGCTCGGCTGCTGAGGTGCTGGACGCCTTGGTCTCGGCGCCACAGGAGTCGGCCCGCCTGCCTTACACGGTCATCTGTGAGATTGCTAGGAGCCTCGACGCTAATGGTGCGGCTTTGGTAGTAGTAGTATTAATACGACTCTCCTGTGTGCCATGGTCCTCTTAGGTGCTGCTGTTGGCGGCTGACGCCCCACGTGATGATGTTCAGACTTGGATCAGTGGTGAAGTTCTTCCATTGAATATAGCAGCTATGGTTCACGTAGGTTGGTGGTCGACAATATGAAAATTCAGAGAAGATGTTGCTTTTCGTACGCTCCTACCTAAATAGTGTGTGAATTTCGACAGTGTAGTGGTGGAGCTTGTGAGTTTCGCTGAGGAAACCAGATATGAACTCCGCGCTGGTGCTCGCCTATCGGGTATTCATGCTCAGGCTCTTGAGACGGCACGGGCCCTATTCAAGGGCGAGGTCACCTTTGTTAGCACTGCTGCTGTCCAATACCGTACAGTATCTATTAGAGTGGTAATAAGGAGAAGAGGAGGCACACACTAGGGCTCAGGTAGATGAGGCTTATTGTCGTCGTCAGGTCTCGGGCGTAGTGTTGACGTTGACCAACTTGGGAGTGCCAGAGGGAACGCCAGAACAATACGCGTCCCTGCTGTTGGCCTTGCACAACGTTACAGGGGACGCTAAGAGCAAGAAGGCTGCTAAGAGCCGCTCTGTAGCTACGCAAGCTGCTGGTGAGTGTCTATTTGGGATAATGTAGAAGTGGCACTAATGTGGAATACTTCCTCACGTTCGAGAGATGCTCAGCTGAAAGAGATTTTGCGGTTGATGATCTCAGGGAAGGTTTCTGTCGAACACAGTATGGCATTCAGGTGCTCTTCTCAAGGCGTTAGAGGCTGATCGCATCATAGCGACATTGATAGCACTGTTGAAGAACCCTTCGAAGCAGTCAGCGTTGTTCACACAGATAGCTGATGCTATTGAGGAGGGTGCTACTGGGTAGTACTCTTGTCTAGGGTGGCAGGGAAATATCTGAGCTTCATCTCAGGTCCTGGCAGCAACAGTATCTGTCCATCCCTGCATCGGTCCAGGAGGAGTGTATTGACGCTGTTATCGAGAGGGCCAGCCGGGAGGGTAGTGGGTCGACTTAATAGTACCGTCTGGGTTGAGGCTGTGTTTTAGATGAAGCTGTGATGAGCAACTCTCTGTGGTCGGTCTTGAGGGGTCTGTGTAGTGCTCTGAGTCTTGCGACGTTGAAGGATCGAGTGACGAAGTTGGTTGGCAGCAGTGAACCCTTGGCTTCTGGAGTGATGCCTCTCGGAAATGCTCAGCTATGCAAAGCAACGACGATTCTTGTCAAGCGAATGGGTATATGCTCGCATGCATCATCCGAGAAGATATTACGTTCGCCTGCTAGGTGCATCGTCCCTCTCGTATTTGAGTCTACTTCTGCCGTCCTTGATTGCCGTTTTGTCTGCTGGAGAGAAGGACTCTACTGTGCTGCAGCCGACCGCCCAGTGCCTCTTTGAGATCACTGGAGCCTGTGGACAGTACTTCGGCCCCGAGACTAAGGCGGTTTTCAGACTATGTGAGATGCTGTAGAGCGCTGGAGGGTATGTCTGTTGGTAGGTGTATCGCCGGAGTGGGAGTTGGCGCGAATTGGTGGGGCCCTCAGTGAAGCCAGCAAGGACCTCTCTCACCTGCTACAGATGACAGCGCAGCGTTTGGCGAGGTAGGGCTGTCAGGGCTATTGCTGTTGGATATTACTTTCTGGGATTGCTGCATTTTCTCTTGTGGGTGTCCGTAGGTCGTTAGTTTACTGTGAGATGCTGCCGATGTTTAATATTGGGGATATGCCTATTCCTGATTGGGTTGTATATGTTTAGGTCCCAACCCGTCGCGAGTATGATGGAGTCGGTGAAGTCGATTATTCTTGAGGCGTGTGGACCCAAGCATTCAGTCCCGAGTGATAAGGACATATTTCGCTTACAGAAGCTTATGTCGTTGCTGGGGTGAGTGTACGGCCCTTGTATCGCCTCTCACGGTCCCCCTGGTCAGTTATCTGTTCTCTCGTACTGCGACCGACGTCCGAGTGATGGGGTCCATTGCTGACCCTCTAGCTCGGCTCCTCAGCCGCGTCGTCGCTGTTGTTCAATCTACGCATGTCGTGGTGCCCCCAGCCCGACGCGAAGTTCGATGGTGTGATGCAGAGTTTGGCTGGGGCTCGGAAGCGTTGGCCGGTCTCACTGTGCAGGCTCTAAGCGAGGTGCCCTACTGCCTAGGTCGTAGGGGTGGATTCTTATGCTCCCCTTCAGGCGTGTCTTCATATGCGTTTGGCTGATGTGGGAATCGTCATCAAGGTGTTAGGAAAGGCAATGAAGCGCGGCGGGTGGTTGGTGGAGGGAGGACAGAAGGCTCCTCAAACGGCCATCTGGCTGTCGCTGGCGACCGAACTCTGCAACAGGGGAGGCCAGGAGATCGGTGTCGCGGTACTTCAGTTGATGTCTGGAGATATTCTCGAGGTGGGTGTGCTTCGCTCCGCTGTGTTTTGTGGATTAAGTTGTTGCGTAGATCTTCAAGCAGTGTAACGAGCAGGCAAGTGGTTCAAAGAATAGTAGTAAGAAGAGGAAGTCTGGCGAGGAGGCTGCCCAAGAGGGTCGACCCTGGTGGTTCGATCTTATGCAGGAAGCTCTAAAGTAGGGCGGATCTCAGCAGCGTACGTTAGTCCAGGGCGTCTCCCTCCTCAGGTTGGTAGCAGCGGTGTCGAATGTGACATCGGAGGTGTCTTCGGACGGTGAGACCTTCGAGTCTATCATAGATGCCGTGGCTAACTGCTCTTCGTCGGCTAAGTACTGGCCGAGCGCTTATACAGCAGAGGCCCAGAGTGCATTCAGCCTGGCCATCATTGCTATTGGGAAGCGCTGTGCCAGTGACAATCAGGTGATAGAGGCGTGTTTGAAGGGTTGCCAATGGGATCATGATTCGTACTAGGTCAAGTATTTGCTCGCGGATCTTCTGCGGCCTTGTCGTATGGAGCCTTCAGCTCAAGTGAAATTGGCGCTGCTCCGTGGTGTGACGGAACTGTGGAAGGTGAGTGTTGTTGTTTATGCATGAAAGTGATGGCTGAGTCTCAGGCCGTTGGTGGGCCGCTGCTGGTTGGCATGTCGGAGGTGTCTGTATATGCTGGAGAGCTGTTGGAAGATGAGGATGCTGAGGTGAGCTCATCGAGGAGTAAGGGGGCAGCAGCCAAGATGTCTTGCGGCAGGTTGAGAGAGCGACCCGACTTATGTTGGCTGAGGTGGAGACTGTGTCGGGCGAGAGCCTCTTGGACAAGCTTCACTCCTAGGATCGACTCCAGTAGCAATAATAGCCACTGTTTACCAGGATTAGTGACGCCATCATGGCTAAGCTATAAACGTCAGTTTACGTTCCTCCGTTTACTACTACTACACGTACTTGATAGACCTGTGTACTTCTGGTTGGCAGTAGTCAATTCACGAGGGGGAGGGGAGGGGAGGTCGAGGGATTACCTAATTTGTGCAGGTCTTCTTGCCCTGGTCTGCAAATGCCTCGTTCGCCCAGTTGGGCGGCTCGACCTCAACTCTGGGCTCCTCATTATGTCCATCAGCACTATCGAATCTTCCCGTATTCTACGGGTCTGCGGTTCGTACTGGCCCATCGTTATAGTGACGGCTTGAGAGGGGTAGGACATTCAAATGGGTGGTGGAATGCCTGTTCACAATGGTCGCGAGTATCATTCATTGCTATGAACCTGCTCTTGTCGGAAGAGAAAGCTCAGCCATACCCCGTATGAAAATCCTTGGGAAATGTTGAACACTTAGGAAACGTTGGACGAGGAGGCAGCTTGTCTGAGATGGTTGAAGGAGAGCATCAGAGACAGGAGGAGGTTACGAGAAGCTGTACGGAGCCGTGCCTTGCACTGGACACCCTATCAGTATCTAGTGGGTGAGAGGGGCAGAGCTCAATGAATCCGTTCGTGAGAGTAGAACTAGCATAAATTGCGATGTGCGCTCATTTATGCCGTGTGAAGAGATGTATATCCCTAGAGGATTTACGAAGGTGTGTGGTCAGGCTATGTAGACTTTCTGCATCTCGAAGCGTTCATTGTGAGGCCCCCTACGTTAATCCCAAGACCTGAGACGGAGCTGATGGTGCAGCGCATCCTGGAAGGGGGCCTACCAGGTGGGAGGCGCATACTGGATCTGTGCAGTGGAAGTGGTGTTATCGGAATTGCCTTGGCCACTGCATGGGCCACCATGAGGTCAGTTGAGGTGCTGTGTGGTCCCTAGATGGTCTACCCTTACATGATGATCTCTACTAGCGGCAGTGGCTTGTTATCAGGGTTGATCTGGCTGATCTCTCGGAGCAGGCGATGGGTCTTGCTCGAGAGAACGCGAAGCGCTTTGGAGTGTATGACCGACTAAAGTTCTTGGTCGGGCCCATCAGTGACCAAGAGTTCACGGCAAACTCCTATGACATGGTCGTCTCTAACCCTCCCTATATCCCCACTGAGTCTGTCGGGAATCTTTCGCGCACAGTGAAGAATCATGAAGATATCTTGGCCTTGGATGGGGGTGAGGAGGGGATGAATATTGTGCAAGAGGTAGGTCGTACATGTTACTAGTAGGCTGTCGGCCCCTTGTTTTGACCGGCTCTGTCATAAGAGTAATTTCAACTAGTAGTAGAAATTTGGTAATAGTGGTGATGTATATAGTTGTAATTGATTGGCAGGTGTTGAATGTATCATCAATGGTTCTGAAGCCTAACGGCATGCTTTGGATGGAGCTACACGCTGAGTCTAGTCAGCATCGATCTGTCGAGGAGTACATAGCACGGCACCATGCTACTGAGCTGGTGATGCAAGAGGTCGTACTTGATCTGAGGGATATGCCGCGGTTTGTTCTTATACGCAAGGTCGACCTTGGTGGCGTCTTGTGACTGGTCATGTTTCCGGGGTACCAGTGTTGGTGTTGGGTGAGGGCCCCTGAGGTCGAAGGAGATCTGAGCCCTAGGGGGCCTACCGTTGAGAAGGGGTGTCATTAGTTCAGTATCCGCACTGTTACTTATTTGTTTATTGGCGATGCATACTCCAGGGGCGGACTCACCGGCGAGCACACCCTCACTGCCTAGTGGTACCCCGGAGGGCACTCCGCCGTCTATGACTATGATGGCTGAGCTGGCGACGTTGAGGCAGCAGTATGAAGCGATCAAGGATGAGCTGAAGGATAAGAATGAGGAGCTCAGGACTTTACGAGGATTTGTAAGTTACCGCCGCACGGGGGCTCATCTCAACGCTGTCTTAGGTAAATGAAGCGCGGCGGAAGGCACGGACACCGGCTAAGCTGAATCGGAGGGCGGCTGGGGATCTTCTCAATACTAGTAAGATGAGGGCTCTATGGCAATGTTTCCGCGTTGCAATTTTCTACCTTACCGACAGGACATGGTTGCCTCAGGCGGTTCATGCCTTCCAGACACCCCTGGTCGGTATGCTGGGATGCCCTCGCCCCCGGCAGAGCTCAGAGCCATCGCTCCGACACCTCTGAGGGCTCCACATCCAACCGTGGATATATGCTCGGTTGGGGTTAACACCTCCCCTCTGGCAGCTAGCTCACCCCCTCCACTATCGATACCCTCCCCATCCTCCTCTGCTAAGGTCAGCAGCACGGTTGGTTAGACTGGTGTGAGGAGTCGTTTCATGGCAGGGTTCACCACCTGTTACTCCTAAAGGGATACCTCCTTTGCCGTTGGGTAAGCTGGGCCTTATTGGAAAGACGTCTGCGGGCCCTGTGTCGGGTAAAGCACTGCCGCCTCCTCCACCTAAGGTGAGGCTCGTTACCTTGTCGTGAGCTGATGTGAGGCTCCTCAGACTTCCCCGATACTCACATGCCTTCCGCCAAGGACCTCTCCTAAGTCAGCCAAAGGATCCCCTCCGCCGACCTGCATGGTGAGTAGCATATACCCTTACTGGGCTTGGTGTGCATGTATGCTCGTTGCAGAACGTGGCTTCTCTTGGTAAGGCGTCTCCTCCCCCACCTTTGCCCACCGGCAGGGGTATACCTCCCTTGGCGGGCCCTAAGGTATCTGAGGCTTGCTGGTTCATGGTAGAGATCACCATCTTGGCGCGGTCTCTCAGGGACCTCCGCCACGTGTACCTACGAATCTTAGTGGGCCTAAGAGCGTCCCGAAGGCTAGAGTGCCCAATCCCTATGTAGCCCTGCATATAAAAGGGGTGGACATCACCAAAGCTAAGGGGAAGAGAGCGACTGCTTGTAGGGGTGGGGGAGTGGCAACGCTCACTGGTAGTCGTCTTGCAGCGGTATTGGGAGTTAGCGTCATACTAAATGGTTTTATGGATTTCCCATAGTATGGGGCTTCCTGGCACAAGTTGGGTTTTTTATTGCTACGGGGCCCTCACCTTTCGTGATGGCTTTCGTATGAGCCCCTGGTGATGAGGAGTTTTGTAATGCTGTTAGGTAGCGTATCGACACCGAGAGCCGGAGGGGCTGGCAGCACGGACTCGGGGACGGACACTCCTCTCAGTTGTGATAGCTCCTTCATCCAGGCGGCCCAACTTGAACACGCTCATGATGAGCCTCTACTACAGTACTTTACGAGGTGAGAGGGAGGAGCTCTCTTACGGCCGATGGTGTTGATCGTTACTCCATGGCATTGCTGATACAGTAGGGATCTATGATAGTAATATACCTATCATGATATGAGTCTATGGCTGCATTCATAGTGTGTGATAGAAGTTTGCCATGAGAGGGGTTTCCTTCTCGCGGAGGCATGTATTGACTATCCCACTCAAGTTGGCTCATCCGTAGGTATGGTAGCCGGCCTCGGGACTTTACCATGTCCGAGTGCGGTACCCCTAGGAGCTGCGCATCTGATGCCGATACTAGTGGTAGCTATTCATCTCATGGGGTGGAGAGTATGCTGCTGTTCTCTCCTAGTCCTCCCTGCTCATACGGACATTTCTATGTGCTCGGACGGCACTCCTCATCGTAGTGTTGTACTGGGCGGGCCTCCATCGATGTCGAAGAACTCCAGCGTACCCATTCTTGGCAGCTGCGATCGACCTCCAGGGATGGGTGCTTCACAGAGTAGGTCTATCTGCTAGGGTCCTGCAACTTGCTTCAAGTTTCTAAACGAAATAGTTGGAGCTCGGTGAATTCTCGCACGGGCGTGTGGCAGGCACGAAGTCTCTGCTGCCTGTGATGCCTCCTGACTGCATTATATCTCGCCAAGTGGGAGCTCAGAAGATATGGAAGAGGGTGAGGAGGAGCGTGAGGGCGCAACAGAGGTCGTCATGTGCCGTCATGTAGGTGGACTCCAAGTTCCTGACGAGGCTCTTCAAGAAAAAGGAAGTCATCAGAGATCTGGCACAGAAGGCTGCTGCTACTGGCAAGGAGCTTGAGAGTAGGGAGTTCAGTACCACACCTTCTGGAACTCCCACTGAATATGGTAGATCCTCTCGGGACACCAAACAAGCCTCTGACGGTGTTCGGTACGAAGGAGCATAGGCTGATTGGCATCGTAGCACAGAAGGTGTTCATGCAGATGGAGCCACCACCAGCAGGCGCCAAGCTCAAGAGCCGTAGCGAACAGTAAGTCTTGGCTTTTGCTGCACATATTGGACCAGAGCTGCCAGTTACCGCAATCTTCTGCTGCGCTGTGACGACTCAGTGTGGCAGGAGGACCAGCTGGGTCCGGTCGAAAGTCTACTGCGTGATGTGAGGCTTTTCCATCTTTTCAAACTGGGATGCTCCTCCGGCATTGTAGCTGCCTCCCGAGCTCACCCAGGCCGTGATGGAGGCGGTTGACCGCGACCCTCCTGGAGCTTGTCGTGATGAAGTTGATCTCTTTGTGTAGGGAGAGAGGGCTACGAGACCTCGCAGGAATTGACCTAGATACCACCTGCGTAAAATACCCGATATACGTCACCGCCTGCAGCTGATGATCTTCCTGAGCGGCTTTGAGGAAGAATTCCGAGCCATTGAGGTTAACCTCACTACCATGTACCGAGCGCTGGAGGTGATGTACGATTTGGTAATAGCAGCGGCGAGTCGGAGGATTGATGATGATTCCTACCCAGCTCGACAAGTTCGCGTTGGTCCTTCAACTCTGCGTCAACTTTGCTAATGCTCTCAATCCGGGCGGCCGTCAGGTAGGGTCTCTGTCTATTGAGTGTTTGGTGGTTGTTGTGACAGATCGACATGTTCCAGCTGGGCGCCTTCAGCAAGTTCTATGAGCTCAAATGCACTGAGAATCCGCGGGTACTACTGGTGATGCTGGTTCCCTCTGAGGACTGCTACTACTGTTGCATATGCTGTTGTTTGTAGGTCAGCTGCCTGCATTGTGTGATAGCCTTGATGTCAGAGGAAGATGTGAAGGCCTTGCTTGATAGGGTCGTGATTCGGTGCATCGAGCGGGCGGCAGAGCTGAGGTAGTTTCGGCCGAGACTATGGTGAAGTGGGAAGTCTTTCCAGGGCATATCGAACGGTGGATGATGTCCGGGAATTGACGGACTCCTTTCATGATATCGAGCATGCTTTGGAGAAGGAGCGGGAGAGGGAGAAGAAGCGAAGGCTCACCTCGATGGTTGCCGAGCCTCAGACGGTGGATGACTGTGCTGAGGTAATCTCTGCTATCTACTCGGTATGAAACGTGGGAGGCATGTCGCGGTGTTCTTAGACCGAGGATGGACCTCTGGATACGTTCCACACTCACTTGGCTGAGTTTTATCGGGACAAGATCGCGGAGAGCCAGTGGCTGTTCGACTACGGCCTCAACGTTTACGCCAGGTGGGTAGGCTCCATCATGGCGAGAGTAGGGAACGTTGATAGTTACCGTAATCTGTGTATGACGTTTGTGGACTATGACTCGGTGTGGCCACCACCGAAGGAGCGGGGACCGGACTCTAAGGATCTCTTTGAGGTGTGTCGAGACATGCTCACGCTCATAGCTAAGGTGGAGCAAGATGTGAGTGATGCTAGTAGTAGCTTGGAACTGGCTCTCAATGGCGATCTCGGCAGATACATAAACTAAAGCTGCGAGAGCAATTCCAGGAGCAGTACCCGACCCCGACCGATCTAGCTGCGGGCACGATCGAGCGGGGCCAGGTGTCGAGTCCCATCTGCATCACTCCTCCTATTGCCCCCTCTACCCCAAGCACTATCGTGTCCGATGGAGTGGCCTCGAAGGTGGTAAAGTCTCGGGCGGCCACGGTGCGGCAGTCGTGATTGTGTCAGGCGTTGCCTAATATGCGTCCTATTTCCCGCTTCCTTGGGTCAGCTCGGGAGAAGGAGAATATTAGCGCCAACATCTCTGCACCGGAGCCCGAGAGGGTACCGACTCAGTGGCATCCCTCGGGAGGCACACTGTTGTGTAGGTATCCAAGGACAGTGCGATCTCGAGTGGCGATTCTGAGAAGATTTCTCGTTTCCCGAACTTCTCTCACCTGAATAGCCCACCACCGAGTCCTCCGAGTCAAGAGCTAGTACCTCCGCCTGCTGCTGCTACTGCTGATACCTTCCCGGTGTCGTGGGCGTCTGCGGAATCAACCTCTGGGAAGGTCTCGGACCTCCCACCGCAGCCGCCATTGATACCAGCGTTACTCCTGGCGCCGGCTGACCAGGCCGATGTTTCGGTCGAGTCGTCTAATGGGCCCGTTACTGACGATGATGTAGCCACGCATCCGACTAACAGGTTCCGTGAGGTCCTGCGGGAGAGGCCTCCATCGGTGAGCCGATCCTCCCTCCAATGCATCCATGTGAATATTGGCAGATATTGACAGAGAATGAGGCGGTTGATGGCAGCAGCATGTCAGAGCTGGACCAGTCGTCAATGTCTGTGTCCTCAGCCCGTAGCACTCTATCTGTCAAGTCAACTAGAGGTGGGTGGCAGGCCTCTGTAGAAGTGATACCACACTTCTTTCAGAACGTCGATCTCGAGTAACACGGAAGAGGTCAATGCGGAGCATCGTATCGATGGGTGAGTGTCCATACGGTCGGATGGATGGGCAACGTATCGTCGGTTCAGCAAAACTGCGCGAGAGTCCGACTGAGTCGCCTAGTGGAGAGACGTTTTATACGGCGAAGTCGAGGTATGCAATGTGGGTCTTCAGCCATCTCTACGATGGGTGTCTTTGGATGGGCTCTAGTAATCATTTGAGTATGTCTTTTCAGCGCTTCCTCCCCGCGGTCAAGCGTCGGTAATGTCCCGCCTGCTAAGCCCCCGACTGGCAGACCGAGTCTACGAGCGAGTAAGATCGGGTCCGTTTGGAGGGTCGGGGAGGCTGCATGCTGTTACTAGCAATGTTTCTGTTCACTCTGGGTTACTTCCTTTCAGTGTCGGGCTCCCAGGACTTCCGTCCTCCTCCTATTAGCAGTAATGGTGGTGTTAGCAAACGGCAGACGTCTAAGTGAGTACCTACTAGTCTGTGCCCCCTGCCATTGGTTACTGCATTAGGCATGGATCTGAGTCTCGAGAGGCTGAGAGGCTTAGGAGACGATTAGAATCGAGGAAGAGCATGACCAATTCAGTGGCCCGAGTGAGTAGTTCAACTTGAGGGTTGCAGTCCGTCGAGTGATAGTGACTCAGATTCTCAAAAGGAAGAACCCACAGTTGGAGGAGAGCATCTTGCCCGACAGTGAGGAGGAAGACTTCGGCTCCGGACGGTGTAATGGTGGTTGTAGTGATGAACTGCTGGTGATGATTCCATTCAGTCTCGCCAGTGTCCTCAATGGCATCCTCGTTATGCGGGCGTCGGAGTAGTATCGAGTCAGCAGGCTCTGGTATTAGCGACCGTGGTCGACCTCCTTTGGCACCTAGTGGGGCTCCTAGGAAGAGAACGAGTAATTTGGTGGCGCGCGGTCATAGGAAGCCTCAGGCGACTTGAGGCTCGTTAGGTTCTACGAGTGTTCGGCCTCCGGCCAGGCGTGTGAGATTTCAATAATAGTCGCCTTTAGGATTGGTAGTAGAATTTTCGAGCATTTCTCCGGTATCGTCATGTCCTACTTGGTGATAATACTATGCACTTGCCTCAGGTCAAGGCAGTGCCTCTTCGACCGGCTCCTCGCGACCTGATATACCCCCGCTAGCTCTGTCGGTATCAAGGGGAACGGCGGCGCTGAAGAAGTAGGGTAGAGGTTGCTGTGAGGCTTGCATGGCTGACTTCAGGCCCGCTACTGTACTAGGGCAGGAGTCTCCACGTTTGTTTGACGAGAAACGACATACCAAGTCTGTTGACAGTGATGATCAGTTATCATCACGGAGTAGTGGTGGTGCTTCTTCCTCTACCAGCAGAGCTCGATGGAGTAGCCATGGCAGGCCTTCTGCTGGGCAGTTGGGCAGTCAGCGGGTAGAGATGTTTATTACGCTCAGGAGCTCCTTGGGCACTAGACTCTCAAGTTCTTAGGTGCCGCCTGTAATTGGCTCAGGAGGGGCGTTGCCTGTTTATCATTCACATCGTCGGACTCTCGCTGGTAGGACGGCCTCTTTAGAGGAGTCCAGGGTGTATTGTGGAGGTTCGAGCCGGTCTGGTCGTCACTCTACTTCGGCCAGTGGTACCCGCCCTACGAGCCTTGGAGGCAACTCTAGCCACCAGCATCATGGTGGGCTCATGTCAGACGTTCAAAATGCAGCTAAACAGAGGCTTAAGTCTCAAGTAAGAAGGGCCTCTCGGGTGGTCATGGTAGCTGGAAGATGCTGTTGAGTAGATGATGGAACAACGAATTACTGGCGTAGCGCCTAAGTTCACTCCTAGAGTCAACTCGAAGGCTAATTCAGAGCTGAGGAGCCAGCTCTCACCAATCAGTGAAACAACAACGCAGGAACAGCAGCAGCAGCAGCAAAGCACGTGGTGGGCATATCTCACCACCGGGGTCTGTGTGAGGCAACGTACAGGTACGTAAATAGTAGAGGCAGTGCATGAAAAGAGTAATGATGCTTCCCTCCATCTCTAAGTAGTTGTTGTTTTGTCACCGTCAATACCCTCATTGGCAGGCTGTAGGAATATTTTTGTTTTAACTCGATCCGTCATTAACATGTTTGAAGCCATCATTGATGCCCTCGTCGGATGCGGTGTGCTTGCCTGCACTCGGAAGGTGAAGGACGACAGATGTGGCCCGGCGGTAGGTGCTCATCGGTATCGATGCCGAGAACAATGCCTCAGCCGCCGCCTGTGCCTCGTCGTCCGAGGAAGCACTTTGGGTACTCCGCTGGTACTGCAGTGAACAACTCTATGAGGTCTGTTCGCAGCAACGATGCACGTCGTAGAGTACCACCGAGCAGTAGTAGTGGTAGTAGCAATGCGGGAGCTCGATATATAGTCAAGAGCGTCAATCCAGATGATAAGGTGATATCAAACAAAGTAGTAGGAAGGGATGTTTCCAAGTCTAGATCAGTCTAGTGGGGTCTCTCGAGACGTGCATTTATCGGCATATAGCAGTTTTCAGGTATCGAGCAGCAAGATTATACATGGCCACATCAGCCAGGACTATAGGCTCGAGAGTGCGATCGGGAGCGGGTGGGAAAGGGGCGATAGTAGGCCGGTTTAGAGTGATGCCGATAGGTTCTCTGGATCGGTCGTGGTTGGTTATCATCGCGTCTCTGGTCTTAAGTATGCTATCAAGTTGCTGGACAAGCGTCGCCTAGCTGATAAGGGTAGCAGGGATGGTTACAGGTTCCCTGGCGAGTCAGCTACTGTTAGGTGTACTCAACCTTGCTGCTCACGAGGCATCAGTTCTTTTATCAACAGACCATCCCTCTGTGTGCAAACTACATGCCGTGTATGAGACCAGTTCTAAGCTCTGGCTGGTCATGGAGTACATACAGGGCAAAGACTTGTGCGAATGGCTGGCTTCCCGTCGACGTGAGATGGTCCTATGCATCCAGCTGCTGTTATTACTACTGCAGGTACTCTCAAGCGAAGCGAAGCACGTATTGTGCTTGGTCAGATAATCGATGCTCTTGCTTACTTGTGGGTCTAATAATAAATCGTCGATGGAGCATAGCAATGGCCGTATTGTAGGCACCGTATGAATATAATGCATCGAGATGTTAAGCTAGAGCACTTCATCATTGATTCTAATTCTTGTCTCAAACTTATTGATTTTGGATTCGCCACGCGATCCCATGGAGAGCTACGGAGTCGAGTATGCGGGACGTGAGTGCAGGGTTGAGGCGTCTCTGCTTCCAGCGGCTTTCAGATATCCGTACGTGGCTCCTGAGGTTTTCCGAGGGGAAGCTAGCTGTGCATCGGATATGTGGAGTGCGGGAATAATCGCTCTGCTGATGACTACCGGTCCACGACATAGGAATATTCATAATGTGAGTTGGTCGGGAATGAACTCGTTCGTGTTATAGGCTATGCAACTTGAGATACTCTCTCAAAAGAAGGGCTCTCCTGAGTCGCATAGATCGTATGAGATGAACGGCAAGACTCTTGAGCTGTTGCTCAAAGCTGAACCGACTATCCTCACATGTCCTGGGGATGTTCCTGATGGCGGCAGTCGCTCGAAAAGCAACGAGTCTAGTCCTTGCGGGTAGATCTGTTGTTCTCTGTGTAGCTGTTGTCGACGTTGATTCTGTTTTCAGAGGTCAGAGGCGAAGCGAAACTGCCGATGAGTCTGCATGCTACTGTCCAGTATTCGCCTCCTTCATCACGAGCTTGCTTAATGCCAACCCTCAAAGGCGCATGACGGCAGAGCAAGCTCGTCGACATCCATGGTTGTTAGGGCAGTGCTGTGAGGACGATCGTCTGGTGAGGGGGAGGGAGTTCAAGCTTGTGAGGCTCAGTCATCGTGTGGGTCTCAGGCTGCCCTTGAGCCCTTCCAGCCCTTGCCAAGAGGTCACGGTGGCGATACCACCAGCCTTGACCGATTGCAGGAAGAAGCACATACGAGTGGGGAAGCGGCTAGGGAAGTGCTGGACTCCAGATACTACATGGGTAAGGCCATTCGACATGCTCCAGTGTAAGGTTGATCATCCAGGTCTGTCGCGCTTGTCGAAATTAGTTCTACATGTATTAGCTGATCTTGATTGTGATAGCAGACGGGAGAGTCCTCGGAGACGGGCTGAACTGGCGTAGGGCAGATTTTGGAATATCTTAGCTCGACCTCGTGGTGCTCACAGGTATCGGTATTTGGACGCCGACCGACGCTACATTCCTCAGACTGATAGCGTAGCCCTTGAGAAGAGAGGTTACTGAATTAGTTCGAACCTTCTGCGTGTTCAGGTTGGAGGAGAGGAGCAGTTCCGATACGAAAGCTTCTACTGGAAGGTCCTCCCTCACATGCTGGTGACATCTCCATCAAAGGATATCCATATCTTGAGGTTAGTTCGACAGACGATGAATTGACTCACGCGACTCGTATCAGGCCTCTGTATAAGGAAACAGCAGCTGTAGTACAGAAGGTCAGATGCAATGGAAGTGTCTTGGCCCAGGCATCATCGCAGTTCACGACTTCCGATGTAAGCAATCATCACCATCCTCGTCTGATTGGTGGGGGTTCAGGTTGAAGCCATAGTGGAATCAAGTTGTGCTGCATACTCTGCATCTCTGGTCAAGCCTCGGCTACCTGTGATGGGCCTATTACAGAGCTTCACTAAAACTGTGGATAGTTCTGATTTTGAAGCTAGTATGTGTTCCATCTACCTCGACATGAGTCAGTGGTCTACAATTAGGCACGACTGCGGGTACCCCAAGCATCCGAAGTCGGTCTTCGCTCAAGTCGGTATTCACGCCTGCTAACGTACAGACATCTCGTCCTAGTATGCAGCGGAAAGCTACAGGTAGCAACCGGGGGCTCGATTGATGATATGGATGCCGTTCTCAGTGACCTTCAGCCCTGAAGTTTTGTTTATCGAGCCTGACGAGCGAGTGAGCCCACCAGCGGTCACTCGTGTTCTTGGACTCAGTAGTGATAGGAAAGCATGCTGCTAAGGTAGCCCTATAGCCATGATTCGAGCGCTGCTCCCGATGCTCTTCTTCGTCTATTTCCATTCGTCTCAACTGCCATGTGACGGATGCGGATGCGTGTCATTAGCACTATAAGTTGTAGCGGGATGAACACGTCTTTTCAGATATTGCATAAGTCGAAAAGTCTCAAATGATGCTGCAGTAGTAACAGATGATGCCTCTTACCCGAATGACCTAAGATTATTCCCCATGATTGTGTGAAACGTCTGAAGCTACTGAGACGGCGGTGTAGTTGAGCGAAGGAAGGTATCGCATTTACTCGAACATGACTATGATTAGTACAAAGCATGAGAGTATTGATGCTGTTATTCGCCCAAAATCAGTCTTCTGCCGGTGCTCGAATAAACCATGACCTCAATGCTGTTGGGGTGTGCAGTATCTCTGTCGCAAGTAATTATTGCTTCCTATTATATTCTACGTTATCCGACTATGGATTATAGCGGCTTATTGTACCAGACATACTGATGCTCGGTGACGCTCATTACAACCGTGCCCAAGTCTCATCATCGCTTTGTTGTACTGACCTTCATGCTTCTCGATTAGATACTGCATGTGAATATATTTTTGGACTCTTGTTGCACTCGTCTTGTTATCATTATTTATCTCGTACATGAGTGTGGCACTTGTCGCAAGTCTCTCAGTCGCCTGCGCCACGTCATTTTGTGCTACACTTTCTTCAACAGTCTTTGAGATGTCGCTCACTCTTTCGAGCGAATATTTTTCGAGCATCTTGAATGAGTCGGGGTCAGTTGCATATGCCCGACGAGAAACATCGAGTCACCTCTTCGTGTGCTAAGTCGTGGATAGTATGGAGGCCGCTATTTGGCTTTTCCAACAATGCATAGACGTAGCGAACGACCAGTAAGGCGTTCATAATCTGATTTCAATGTGTGCATCTCAGTAGTTGGGTCGATAGTGTATTCTTAATCTGATGACCGATCAGTCGAATGTGTTATTCGAACTACAGCCGCCCATGATCACGAACTGCGAATGCGAGTCAGCTCAAGTCACGACGGTCAGTCTCGGCACATCTTGGAGGTCTTAACTCCCATCCGGGTAAGTCTCTATCGTTTTCTCATTCGGAGACGAGTCACTCCTTTCATCGTGATCTCGGCGTTGAGGCCTATTCGCCTCGAAGTCACCTTCACTTGCGCTAAGTGGTAATCAATTGTTTCCACTGCTCACTCAACAACTACATCGGTTAGGAAACAACAAAACTACTACATCTCGAAAACATAACAGTGCGATCCGCAACTTGTGTAACAAGCATGACAGATATAAATCGGAATGAAACGCTGATGCGCTGACCTATAACGAAGGAATGAATCAATCACCAGTCACCAATAATAAACCACCACAGGAACCCTACAGAGATGAGGAAGAGGTAGTTCAGTGCGAGTGATGCTATACCGCAGAACCACCACTGACGGACGGTTACGTACCCAAGGGCATAGTAGGCAGGATTCGTGGGGGAAGTATACGGGGAAATATTGCGTGCCATAGTGACATACGATAAGACACTCGAGCCAAGATGAGATGGAACTCCGTTTTGGATCAAAGACTCGAATATGGGCGGGTAGAAATCTCTCGTATGGGCCAATGGGGAAGTATAAACATAAGAAGTAAAGTACATAACAATGGAAGCAAGCAGAAGAGAGCTGCCGACTGGTTTTCCCGATAGCCAACCGACAACGTACTTGCCAGCGAACGGATATGCCCAGTATCCCTTCGACACGGCCGTTTGGATGATCGACAGGAGCGTTCCATAATATATGAGCATTCTGAAGGGACGCTTATCCTCAAGTACTGCTGAGTCGGATTCTACTATACCCAACACTAGAAGGGCTGTGATGCCTGACGACCAAACCAAATACAGGACAGCGTGACAGATGGGGACTCACCGATGGAAGCGATAATCATATCGCTGATGTAGAAGCCAGGGGACATTGAGGCGGCAACCCAAAGGGCGAAAGTGGCGACATAGACTAGGGCTACAATAACCTAAGCGGGAAGAGTTCGTTAATGGTAGAGTGGTGTTCCTCAGATTCAAGCTTACCTCAGAGCATGATATAGGGCCGCATGACCTCAGTTGTTGGCAGGCGTCGTCGTATGCATTGGGTCTACGGACGTACTTAGGTCGATGCAACAAGTACATCATCAGGGGTACCAAAAGTACGGCAATTAGTACAGGTATGGCGACCTGCGTCGCCCAGAAATTGAAGTTGACATCCAAACCTTGCTCGTCAAGATAGTTGGCGATGAAATGGTTAACGTCGTTGTAACCAGTGAGCCAACAAGCGCTGGCGAAAGCGTTGGCTGTTACCTCTACGAGAATCAGATAGCTACCCACTTCTCGCTGAGTGCCCAGTTGAGGGGAAGACTTAAAGCCGTGCTCAAGTAATGCTACCATGATGGGCATGATCAACCCGACTGCTCGTACGGCTGGAGATGTTATGAATAGAGCTAAGATGAGCTCGAGTGTACAGATAGCATAGGCCACCAACAGGACGTTGAATCCTATATACTTGTAAACTAGGAGGCCGAGTCTCTTGCCGAGGCCTGTTACAGTGAAAGCTCTCATGGTCATGAAGCTGAACATGTTGAACCACAGGTCTGGGCTACCAAAGCCCGAGAAGAGCTCTTCAGACGTCATCCCTCCAGACAAGCCTGCTAGGGCTAAGGCGAATACGCAGAAGGCTGGTAAAGGGAGAGGAAGCACTGCAGAGCCCATGCACACACAGGCCGTTAGAGTGACACCCCACCAAGCGTCTCGTGGAACATCCTTAGGGGCTACGGCGAATCCAAGGAAGAAGTATTTAAACAAGAATAATGCGACTCCGGGAAGCCGTATGCCCTTCCATTTTTGATTGTGCCAGAGGACTAGTCGCTTGGCACGAGACTGCAGGGTTTGCTGGGGCTTCGTTGGTGAGTCTGCCGTGTCCTCCACCTGCACCTCCAAACCGTGCGATTCGGACATTGATTCACGATAGCTCAGAGGAAGAAGGAACTGGAGAGGAGAGACTGTATGGATTCTATTCTGGCTAGTCGGAAAGACTACGGATTTATCAAGAAAACTTGCGGCACGCTTCTAATTCGAATAAGTCCACGTTTGTTAGATGTTAGATCTGCTTTCATCAGACATCAACATCACGACGCGTGTGCGGTTGAAAGTGGTTTCGCCGATTCTCTTGAATATGTCGACTGTAGTGCGCGGCATGTGATGACCGAGAGTGCGAAAGGTCTATTCCCATCGAACATTGCCCACATGCTGCTTACGGGTGCCCGGGAGTATTAGATTCCTCCCATAATGGTGGCGTTGTTAACGAGCATCCATCACTGGGAGAATCCAAGTACCAGAGAGTACAACGCTAGCGTGCGTGTTATTATTAACGTTGCACCGTTAAGAGGACCGTCTCGGTAGCCTCGAGTCGAGGCTACCGACGGTGCAATTCGCGTTTGATTCTTCGATCAGCGGTCTGCAGCTTTTCGGGCGTGCGCTTTTTTCGTTCGAATCCTGCCGCTCGGGGCTAGGGGATTAAGTCTCTACTAGCGTTTAGGAGCCCCAGAAACATGTAACTAGCTTTGATGTGCTTGCCTAGGTTTACCCTTCCCGACAAGGCAAGGAGGGGAGCGACATCTTTTTGGATAGCGAATTTTGCCTTAGCTGGTCGTTTCTCGTTGGGGGGCGTTAGCTTAGGTATGTCCTGGGGGATTCATTATGAAGGCCTATGTTTGCCCGGGTTGGCAAAACTGAAGCTTTCAGGTGTGGTTGTTCCTGCCTTCCCGAGGGAGGAATTTGGATGCTCGTAGCGTCGTCATGAATTCTTTTTGGTGGTAGAAGCTACATTTTCTCTCACTTAGTCATTATGTCAGCTCCCGCCGCATCTGCGACAACTACTCCCGCTCCGGTATCCGCTCAGGCTGCCGCTTTGGAGCAGCAGCGTAAGCAGCTCTCTGCTTCTGACGTCCTCGGCAAGGCCACCGCAGCCGCCTTCCGTGGTGGTATTGCTGGTGCCTCTGCCCAGGTCGTTAACGTGTTCGCCCTTATGTGGATGCGTACCACTATGAACTATCAGTATCGTTATGGTGGTCACCTCGGTGAGGTCCTCAAGAAGCTCTATTCTGAGGGCGGTGTTCCTCGATTCTACCGTGGTCTCGTCCCTGCATTGATCCAAGCCCCCATGTCCCGTTTCGGTGATACTGCTGCCAACGTTGGTGTGTTGGCCCTTTTGGATAACACTCAGGCCACCCAAAACATGCCCATCGGTGTGAAGACTGCTTTCGCGTCTTGTGGTGCCGCATGCTTCCGTGCTTTCCTCATGCCTATTGATGCTTGGAAGACCACCAAGCAGGTCGAGGGTGAGGCTGGTATGAAGGTTCTCATCAATAAGGTGAAGACTCACGGTATCACGAATTTGTGGCATGGTACTCTCGGTGCCATGGCCGCCACCTGGGTTGGCCATTACCCGTGGTTTGTCACCCATAACACTTTGAACGCTCACTTGCCTGAATTCAACTTCAAGCATGGCAAGTACGTTCGTAATGCCCTACTAGGTTTCTGCTCATCCTTCGTGTCCGATTGCATTTCGAACTCCCTTAGGGTGCTCAAGACCACTAAGCAGACTTCCCAGGTACCTCTGAGCTACCCTCAGGCTGTTAGGGACATCGTCGCTAAGGACGGTTATGCTGGTCTTTTCGGTCGTGGTCTTGCTACCCGTATTATCACCAACGGTATGCAGGGTATGTTCTTCTCTGTCATGTGGAAGGCCTTCCAGGAGACTCTTGATAACAGGGCTAAGGAGAAGCAGCGTCAGGCCCTTCTCAAGTCTGCGTAAGATGGAAAAACTGCATTAGCAGACTGCCTCTTCGGACTCCGTTCCAAGTTGTGTCGTGAGTCCATATGATGAAGGCATTCGAGGATGGTGTTTAGCAATATTGTCGGTTTTCGGCTGGTCTCGTTCACACTTATGATGCCCTCCTGGAATAATTATCCTATCGTAGTGAAGAGTTGTGTTAATGAGTGTTACACTTGGGGAAGGATAGTGGAGATTGTCATTTCAATTTGATGGGGTCGTTTGTTCGGATCATGTGGGTTCGATCTCCTCAGGCATTCGCGAATTAGGTTTGTCGTTTTCAATGTTCTTTTAGACATGTGATGTCAGACTTTGCAGTTCATCATGCCTCCCAAACGGTCGCTGGCAGGTCTTGACAAGGGGAAGAAGGAATGGGCGTACAAGGTGATAACGGAGATTCCAGGACAAACGGAGGCTTTCGTGGTGGACGGCTTTGGTGTGCCTGTTAGACTGAGGCAAGATAGTCGGACATACTTCTTAACACACTTCCATGGAGATCATACTTGGGGTCTCACCAAGGGCTTCTGTAGGGGTACTATATACTGTTCTCCTATCACGGCTGAGCTGGTAATACAAGTCATCGGTGTTGACCCCTCTCGAGTGGTGAAGTTGGAGCTGGGTGAGCCTACCGAAATAGCAGGAATTAAAGTGACCTGTATAGATGCCAATCATTGTCCGGGAGCAGTCATGTTCCTCTTCTGTGGCACTGGAGGCTGGACGGGTCTGCATACGGGAGACTTCCGAGCTTCTGCTGCTTTGTTGAAGACTGTACCGGCGTATGGTGTCATCAATACGGTGTGGCTTGATACTACGTATTCGGATAGGAGATTCGTTCACCCATCGAGGGAAGAAGCTCTAGATATGATTTCCAGAATTGTCACTAAAGAGAATGAGCCTGGTACGATGTTCGTTGTCGGCGGGTATAGGTTGGGGAAAGAATCTTGTGCAGTGCGGATAAGCGAAGTTCTGGGGAAGAAAATTTTCGTACCGAAAAAAAGACGCAAAATTATGGAGATATGTGGCGCCATTCCAGAGAAGTTGATAGCAGAGAAGGAAGACTATGGAGTGGTCTTCGATGCGATGGGCCGGGTCGGGAGCTCGCCGGATTCCCTGGCCGACTTTCTTGATGCCGGTTACTCTAAGGTGGTTGGATTCCGTTGCACTGGGTGGACTCGGAAGGAATCTTGTTGGCGCAGTAGTAAATTTCCAGGCTGTGTGCTGTACTCCATACCATACAGTGAACATAGCTCCTTCACAGAACTAGTAGAGTTCCTCAAGCATGTACAGCCGAGGAGGGTCATAGGGACAGTGGGGAGAAGCCTGGTTGATCGAGAGGCTCAGGTTACAGCCGTTGCTGGAGGTATCATGCTCCCTGAGCATCGAGGAAGGCTAGAGAGCTACTTCTATGGTAAGCCTAGGAAAGCTGTGAAGTGTAACGCGAGTGAACGAAGTGAATTAACGACTGTTATCGATTTGACCAGTGATGAATGATAGTTTCTAATTTCCGAACTGTGGCGTTTCTCTGTTTTGGGCTCAGGAGGAGAGTCCCCTTGTGAGATCCGTTACGAGCCTTCCTTGGAGTAGTATTGGAATATGTCTTTGGCCTCCTCAGTTGAGCTTGGGTGTTTCCTCACTAAGTAAAGAAGTTTATATGAGAATTCGGGTAGAAGTGTACAGAAACCAACAAGAACTTCCCAAAATTTCATCGGAATTCACATGGTGTCACCAACACATGTAGTTAACCATATACATATTACCTTACACTATCTTAAACTGTGGCACTATGTTGACTCATACCTTCCGTGCGGAGGTAGACCTGTGTGACGTATTGATCCGTAACAGCTCCTCCAGAGGCGGAGCTTGTGTGCTACTATCATGCTGGGTTTTGGCTTCACCAAAGCCTTTGGTCCAAATGGTATAGAACTATCGTATTCATGTTTGTAGATATCAATCACCTTGTACGTAGTTCTAAGTATCTTGGGTTGGGTGACCACGTCTCGTGATTCCGAGACCATGTGCATGCGTGCAGATTATCCGTATCAATTACGGGTTTGATCCCTAGGTTGAACGATGGAAACTTTTTTGATCGCCGTCGCCTACCTGGTGATGGCTAAGACTTTCGCGAGTATATTCTCTCTCAATATGTACCCGATGCGAATCAGCACCATTCTGCACTTGCTGGCATACAAGAGGTATAAGACTGTTTGATGTACCTCTTCACTACATCTAGGCTCTGTCGAAGTGTCAGCCTGGAGCACCACTTTGTTAGCGCGAAATTTCAAGTTCTCTTACGCTCATTATGCTCCTTAGTGCCGTCGTGGTCTACTCTTCGGGAGTACAGAATGTCACTCCTGTTATACTCATGCGTGATTAGGGGGTTGTCCCCGAATTGTGTGCAGGCATTCTCCTGTTGTCCAAGCTGAAGCAGTTCTTGTGTAGACCTTGTCCCGATTCGGTGCTTCTGAACCAGACTAGACTCACCTGAAGTACCTTCGTGGGCTAGCCTTAGAGAACTTCAGGCTCAAGTAGCATTCTATGGTAGAGGAATTTTTCCGATGTTAATATGAATCCAGATTGGTATGGTATTTTTATTGCTTTTCTCATCAGCCTTCTTCATTTTCCTCCGACTTAGTGATGGTCGAACAGGCGGATGCCGTGGTTGAGTTGTCGCCCTCATCTAAGACTGACAGCGACTGTACTGTGAAGGAGTCCAAACCTACTGGCAACAATTTCAAGTGGTGGGATGTGCTAGCTGAGGGCTCTGAAGCCGCGGCTGCGTTCAGCCTTATGAAGGGTACCCTTGGTGCTGGTGCACTGGCCGTTCCTTACACTATGTACGGTGCTGGTATCATAGCTGGCACTATTTTACTTTGTGCCATGTGCTTCTTTACATTCCTTTCTGTCGAGATGATCGTCAGGGCACAGGATATCGCACAGAAGGATACCTATGAGGACCTTGTGGAAATGCTCTTCGGGAAGAAATTGGGATGGATTTTCCAAATAGGCTTATTCCTTTTCTGTTTTGGTACTGCCGCTGCATACATCGTGACGATCTATGATATATTCAACCCTGTGTTCGTCGCTGCCTTTGGTTCCAACCCTGATACATGGTACGGAATAATGTTCGTGGATAGGGTCTATTTCAGCACTCTAGTCACGGTCGTTATACTACTGCCAATATCACTCCTAAAGGGCATAGGTTCCATCAGGTACCTCACTATGGCGGGTTCTGTGGGAGTGTGCTTCCTGGCTATCACAGCTATCTATACTCTCTCTCGTTACGGTGTCTCGGATGCCTTTGATGTGGATACTGCATGGACCCCTATCAATGCGGGGTCTCTCATGTCTGCCTTCAGTACGTACATCTTTGCTTTCTCAAGTCAACCGAACGTACCAGAGATTTACGTTGGCCTGTCGAACCGGAAGCCGTCTGCTATGAGGAGGGTCACTGCTGTGTCTATGATCGTCAGTGTAATTGTCTACCTTATGGTAGGCATCCTATTCTTCGTCAACTTCGGAGATGATATCGCCTCCAGTGTTCTCATCAGTTTGAGTCCAATGATCCAGTCTGGTGACCCTATGGTATGCATCGCTTTCATTCTAATGGGCGTTGCTATCATTGGCTGTTTTCCTCTCAATATCTACCCTGTGAGGACGACTATATTGTATTCGTTGGACCCTAAGAAGCATCGAACCATCATTGGTATAGTCATCGCTACTTTAACGGTGGCTCTGTCCTTCGCAGTGGCGGTCGCCTTGCCTGATGTAAATATGATTCTGGGTCTTGTCGGAGCCATCGCAGGGTCCATCGTCTGCTTCTTGGGTCCTGGGGCTTTCAATATCGTTCTTGCCAAGGGCAAGGGGAGCATATATGCCTGGAAAAACTGGTGGTACTGGTTGATGATCGTGGTCGGTTTGGTATCCCTTGTACTCGGTACCTGGGTTTCTCTAGTTGGTGTTATCGATTTCTACAGCAAGTAACTATTCGTAATGCTGATGAGCATCTCGTTGATGTACTGTCACATCAACATTACTGAGAGACTCTCCATTTTTCACCGAGTAACTACGGTTCCTCTGATCTTTCATAAATAACTCCTGAACTGATGATGCATTCAGCCGTCCAGTAGTAGACAGTGTCGTCATTGAGCTATCTCTTACTAGTAACACAGCTAAGGCTTTCGAAGGCTGCTGTTGTTATCATTGTTCTGCTGTCGTCGCCTTTGTGGCTGACGCATAGAAGGCGCTGGCTAAGTGCCGTGCACCCTCAGAGTTTTCCTCTTGTTGTTGTTGAGAATGATGTTGTCGTTCTTAACACGACCATTTTCACAACACTCTTATCATCTCTGTCTACTGTCCTGCGATGATGTCTGTAATACTTCATTAATATTTCTGTCCATTCTTCTTCTTCTCTACCATCGTTGGGCGAGGATCATACTAGTGTACGCAACGGCATCCGCTGTGGGTCCTTGAGGCTCACAAGCAATGTGCTTTCGCTGACTTGGCGGTCCTCGCTGGATGGCTAACATAATGTTATTAATGATACACGTAGTAATAGGAAACCTCAACAAGAAGAGCTGTGGTCGCTGCTCATTGTAACCTCAGAGTAAGGGAGCAATCCTATGTTCGGCGGTTGTTGTTGTTGTACTGTAGCACAATATGTGTTCCATATTACTTCCATTCCTACAGCTTAACTTCGCATAAGGGTTGCGTTCGTGACTGTTATTTTTCTGGGAGTTGGGATAATTATCGGTGATCTGAGCTAGCATTGATGAATCGATGGTGGTCGAAGTTGTGAAGAGGATAGAGAGCATCCATTCCTGGACTTACTTGGCCTGGGGCATATCAGTACGTTGCATGCTGCCATTGGGAGGCTTTTATCCAGTGTGTATGGTTTTCCCCTACGTATGGTGAGGACAACATAGAGAAAAGCGTGCGGTGTTATTGGATATGAATATGCTATATCATGAGCAGTTTGTTATTGATAAATGCGGCTATTTCGTTCTAAGAAAACCTCTTCTACTGTTATGGACCAACAGGGAGGAGGTGGAAGTATCTACTCTGTAGAGGGCAGGTAGTGTTGGTGAGATGCGTTGTGGAGGACCTGTGCTATGGCTAGGGCCTCCTCACTGGAGCATAGGCGTGCTGTAGGGGATACTGCGATGATGCGTGTTACTAATAGGGGGTCTACAAGTAGGACGTGGTTCCTCAGACTGAACTCTAGTCGCTGCATAGGTACTCTCAATGGTACTGGTGAAGTGAAGAATAGTGGTCTTAGTGACCCTCCTGAATGGGATGCTTTCCCGTTACCACCACCAAGGGGCAAAGGCGCTTTGATAAGGTCGTTTCCTGATACGACCGATGTTCCCATAGGATTAGTGGAGATTACGGTATATCAGGTGGGACGTGTCAGCTGTGTCTCTATTGCCCTGGACACTCCGCATCCCTTTAAAACTACATGACTGCAAGAATCCTAAAAATGGACAGCTATACTGTAGTAGAAGTGTGACTATTTAGCCTTACACCGATAGAGAGGTGTAGGTAAGTGGGATGCCGTTCTCTACGACAAGTTGAACCGTCACGAGTTGTGGGCTCGACATGGCCAAAGCATGCACTGGTTCACACTGGAGTTCGAGAACCCTGGCCTCGAAAAAGGGTAGTGTCTGCAGGCTGCTACTCGCGGTGCTATTCTCCTCCCTAGATACCAAATTGACTTAGCATATAGAAGTTTACACCTGGTCCGAGTTCTGAGCCTGATACTGGTCCTTGGTGGCTTCCTTATTGTGGCCCTAAGTTAGTCCTTGGGCAGCAGCAACACCTTTTTCTCTTTGCCCGACCACGATGATCCTTATGTGTAGATATGAGTCGTTGCGCAATCGCTATCCCGGCGTGACGTTCGGCAGAGTCCTGCTAGCTGAGCCACTCAACGCTCTGATCTATCTTGGACTAGTGGGTGTGATATACTATCCCGTCCTCTATCGGTTTGCGTAAGGTCCACTCCATCATAGTATCCATTCTAGTGCGGGAGCCGCCAGTGAGCGGCAGTAGCAGTAGCAATGGTGCTTCCCTCCGGGCTTCTCGTGAAAGTGCGAGACGTGGCTCGTCAAACCGTGGACGTCGAAGAACCCCTCGTCGGTGGCTAGTACACTACTTCCAGGCATTTCAAACCTCCTTCGCATGGCTAACAACAACATTAGTGCTACTATGGATGTACTTTATATCAAGCGAATAACAGCAGATACAGTCACTTCACAGGTACTCAGGCCCTGAACTCGTCGCATGGTACATCTGGCCGGTCGACGAGGCTAGCACCTTCTGCATCTTGCTTCTGGTCACGGCCTGCCTCCATAGACTACGGTTTATATTAATGCTTGCTGTATCGGTGTAGGGTCTGGTGTCACTGTTGCTCTGTCTAGTAGCAGATAGCAGGTACCAAATTATACTCTTTGTAGCACTGCGGGCCTCTTTTCCAGCGGTCGCAGAACGTCATGGTGAATTTTTTGACATCCCCACAGACCCTATCATTATGGTGGCTAGCGGCCTATTTATGGCGATCCTGACTTACTCATTGGAAGTAGTAGATCGGCTGAGGTGCCCTAGCATGCAAGGGTCTAGGCTCAGGTGTTGGGTCGGAAGGACTTCGTGCAGTCATTGATGGTCACCATTGAATCACAGAGGAGTGACCGTCTGCTGAGGAATGTACTTTGCTACAGTCGACCCGGGTTCTAATCCTGGGCAAGGTACTTCCCAAACGGATCATCGACACACTGAAGGAGCGGCAACAGCAGGATCTCAGCGCCGTGTCAGTTTGCAATACTGCTCGCAGTAGGGCCGCTGGGGTCTCCAGAGACGATGTATACGTCACATTTAGGTGTGTCATCGGTAGGTCAGTTACTCGCACAAACCAGCTGTGGCCAGTCCAACTACTTACACGTTCCCAACGGAGTGATAGTTACCCGAGTTGTGGTATCACACAATAGTGTCTTCCCCTTAGGCTCAACAGCAGGGCGGTTGCGGCATCGGCGCTCAGAACTCAGCGGCATTCACCATGCAGGTGAGGAGCGACTGTTGAGGTGTTGGTGTGAAGAGCCCTGCACTCAGATAGCGGCAGCTTCTTCTCAAGCACAACTTCTCACGGGCAGGAGTACGAAACGTGGTGGGGTATCGCACGGTAGGAGCTTCGCTGGCATGGCAGCGGCAGCAGCAGCGGCTATGGGAGGAGGGGGCAATGCCTCTACTAGTGGCTTGTACAACTCGGCCCTTGCAGAGTTGTAAGAAAGCGACTGTCAACGAGGTTGTGATCTTCTACGGCATTTCCTGGTCAATTCAATATTTTACCCGAATTTTTAATAATTAACCACTTCTTTTGGAAAAATACAATTTTTCTTAATGTTTTACCGGCTGATTTTAACTTAATACCCAAAATTTTAGTATTTATATCCACTCTGGTCTGACGGTCTTCCATGGCTGAATTCGGAGAGCTCAATTGTAATGTGACTTCTGTGCCAAAGACGAAGGTGTAACGATGCGGATTCTCATAATACTCGTTAATGGATGTAGTAGTAATTTCCCGGGCAGAAACTCGTGTGCCTTCAGTGTTGACTTTCCGGGATGGAACTCATGGTCGTCCATTTTCAGTTACAGTGATGCGTCGATACTATTCGCTGACGTAGTCGGCTTCACCTCGATCTCGTCAAGGGTGCCTCCCGAGCAAGTCCTGTTGCTGCTCAATGAGCTGTTCTTCATGTTTGATAATATTGCTGAGAAACACGGCTTGGAGAAGATAAAAACCATTGGGGATGCGTAAGTGGCGTGAAGGGCTCATACTAGTACTCCATCGTGTTAGGTATATGGCTGCGGCTGGGCTTCCTACTCCTCATCCCCTACATGCGCATGCTGTGGCCCGAATGGGTCTGGACATGGTTGCTGATGTCGGCGTGTATGCAGTGCATCGTGGTCGCTTCGGCTGAGCTGGGTCTAGGTTCTGTGACGATATGGGCAACCCTCTGGCGTTGAGAGTTGGCTGTCATTCGGGTTCTTGCGTGGCTGGTGTAATAGGCAGGAAGAAGTTCATCTACGACGTATGGGGCGATTGTGTGAATACGGCCTCTCGAATGGAGAGTCATGGGGAGCCTATGAAAGTGGGAGTCTCGACTGTATGGCGGTGTAGTTGCAGCACAGCTGGTCCAGGTTCATTGCTCGGAGGCGACGGCACAGCGTATTCAGGGGGACTTCGAACTGGTTGACCGAGGTGATATGTTTATAAAGGGGAAAGGCCTGATGAGGACCTTTTTCATAGAGAAGGAGATGGAGAGCACCAAAGACAGAAGCGTACGTTGCTAAGGTCTGGCAGGGATGGTAATGACTGATAGGTCCTCCCGAATAAGAAGACGCTGGAGGAGTGGAGAGACAGGCTCTGCACGGGCGCCAATGGCAGTCTATGCTTGCTGGCGACTCCAGCTGCAGTAGATCCCTGTGTAAGCTGGCGTTCGAGTACGTGCAAGCAGCAGCAATTGTTGTTTGTTGAACCTCAGCCGTCAGAGTCTCCTAGACGGGATAGTCTCCACAGCTTGTCGGGGAAGGAGGTATACCGCTCAGTACGATTGGCAGTTGCTCGGGCATCGACCATCTTATAGTCCCCTCCTAGGTGCCAGTCGATTTGGAGATAGGTCTGGGGTCGGGCAGTTGTTGCAACGCTGGTGAGGCTTGTATTAAGAGAGAAAGCTCGTCAGTTCATTGGTTAATACGGTGCATTAGGCCCTTCAGAAGATAGCGACTTGACTGGAAGCGGCGAGATGTTTTGATCCTTGGTTGTATCATCATGAAACATGTCAGCGTCCCATCTGTAATGTATATATATGGTGTAATGTGTACACTGTAAAGTCATAGTTATTCATGCCGCTCTCATGTTTCACCTTTACTTTTTTTCTCGAGTTGGGAAGGATGTTCTCATTGAAGACGCTCATGCAGCTGTTAGAGTCAGGATTCGATGATGCTGCGTTCGCCGCTTACTCCCTTGGGTGTAGGCCAGAGGTTCATCTCGAGAGCCCTGCCACCTCTGTTGTCAATGGGCAGTGGAGGACGCTGCTTCTATTACAACCAGTCCGGCAACGGAGGCTATCAGACGAACTACGGCAATGGTGGCTATCAGAAAGGCTACGGCAATGGTGGCTATCAAAAGACGTACGGCAATGGGGGCTATCAGAAGAGTTATGGCAATGGTGGCTATCAGAAGAGTTATGGTAACGCTGGCTACGGTCAGAAGCAATACGGTAATGGTGGTTACAGCTATGGAAACGGTCAGGGATTCAGAGCGGGTGGCGGCGGGAATGGCAACACCTTCTATAAGAAGAGTTGGAGTGGTAACAAGTTCGGTGGCTATACGAAGCCGGCATTGCCTATCAACCAATTCTATTACACTGACAATCAAGCTGGTGGGAAGAATATCCGTCTCAAGCTCGATTTCGGTAACGTCGTGCGTAATCCTGAGGTGAGCTCGCTGTTGGTTTGAGTGCAACGACTGCACTATCTGTCCAGGCTTCCGGCAACATCCCGATGAAACTTGTTCTCACCCAGCCAGCTGTGGGGGAGACTCCGGCCAAGGTGAACGAATTTGCTATGGGGTGGAAAGGCGCTGGGCAGATCTTGGTGAGTCGTGTGGTATGTGTGAATCTCTTTCTCATGGGGGTCTTTCAGGCTCTCAACTTTCGTAATCCAGAGGCGACGTCCAGTGTAGAGACATTGTGTGCGGCGGAGGGATCTGCGCAGGAAGCGACACATGCCAGAATTGGGCAGAATAAAGGACATCTCATGGTAACCAACAGGGATGTAGCGAGCTGGCGTGCATGTGTTAACGTAGATTGAGGTAACTTCCGCTGAGGGAGAACCGCTCCGCTGCAGAGTTCCGCCTGCGCAAGGGGTGGCAATTCAAGCACTGTTAAAGTAGGCGTAGTCTTGCAGACAATCTCTAACGATTGGCTGTAGATTTTCCTTGCCCAAGATGGTGCCGCGGACGACTCCAATTGAGCCCAGTAATGACTTTTAGATAACTATGCAACTATAATCATTCAAGAATTTGATTTCCACGAGAGGGCTTGAGTTGCTTTTTGTATCTGGAGCAGCTAATGAGCACCCCAGGGAAAAAATGAACGTCGGTCGCGCATATAACATCCTGCCATCGAGTATGGTGAAGATGTTGTTTCCATGTTGGATCATGGAGTATTGTCCCATGTAATGGAATCATCCAATACTACCATGCCCAACAATACCACTTCATTCCGCGTTAAATAGACAACGCAGGTGATAACTCAAGGCTAAGTGATTCAGCATCCCCCGCTCACTTAATCACAGTTAATTCAATGGGAGCTCACTGAGCCTCATGACTTACTCGGTGGGACAAGTCTGCTTGAGTTAGTAAGCTGTCACTGACTGTCTCGAATCGAGACTCGATTCCAGTAGGCCGCGCCGCACTTCGAATGCGGAGCAAGAGTGATCGCTTTCCTCGTGAAGTAGGTCATCGGTTAAAAACTGCCATCGAAGCGTGATTATCAGACTGAGCGGCTACCACAGTATGAAACTGTGCGGAGCAAGACTACTCATCACGGTATGAAACAGGAGCTAACTAGTCCTGCTGCAGGGCTCCTGCAGAACTATTCCCCGCTGGGGAATCCCCAGCTTCTGGACTTGATCGAAAATGACAGGTTTTAAACTGTCTAGAACTTTCGATATGAGCCTTCGAACCTTCGCTCGTATATGACAATCAAGCATTTAGTGAGTGTTTGCCCGAGTGGTTAAGGGGGTGGACTTAAGATCCACTGGACATGGTCCGCGTGGGTTCGAACCCCACAGCTCTCATAACTTACTACGATTGTTTCATAATGAGACTCGTATTGATCGATTTATTTGCGAGAACACAGGGACTGGTGCTACTCAGACATTCAGGGCTGAACTGAACACCTCCATCATACGCGTATCACCCTTCTTTGATGGAAACATGGAGGTCCGTACAGTTCGTCGCTTCAACGCAAATCACTCTCACTCGAATCAAATCTTCAAACGCGGCAGAAATACATTTACATACAACCGCATACTAACCTAGAGCCGAATCTAGATACTAGCGAGCACTATGCCGATATCCATCACATCAATCGAGAACTGACCATGCTCAAGACGGAAGAGGATGACCTCGAGATAACTCAGTTAGAATAGGCGATTTGATCCTGGTAATGCAATTTACAAGCATTCTCCTACTACTTCATTGAACGCCCTTCGTAAGATGCACTTTCTTCACCTTATTCGAATCATCACCCTCCGCTAACTTACAACACAGCACCCAAGAATAGATAGTGAAAAATTCTCAAATCTTCTTCCATCAGTCGACTGAACTACTCACACAAGCTCGATGAGAAATAACAGGAAGCTTAGTATGCTCCCGTGAGTCCTAGCCTAGGAGCAGCTACGACCGAAACAACAGTCATCTTCACATGCCGGCTGCAGCAACATTCTTATTGGCGAAGTCCCAGTTGACAATCTCCCAGAAATGTTCCACATACCTGAAGGATGCACCATCACCAAGCGCTGACCAACATTCACCTTCCTTACTTAGGCCTAGCGTTCCTGTAGTCAATGTAGTAGGCATGCTCCCATACATCACAGTTGATAATGGGGATCTGACCATCTCTCAGAGGACAACCAGCATCGTGACCTTGAACCTAACCAAAGACAACTCCACGAAAAAAGTGGAACAACGAGCGAACAAACGAGACGCGACAATTCCACAAGTAAGATTAACTTACAACTTTCAGCTTGCCGTTATCAGCCACAAGCCAGGCCCAACCACTGCCGAAATGACCGACAGCGGCGGCTGTGAACTGCTTCTTGAACTCCTCGAAGCTCCCGAAATCTCTGTTGATGAGATCAGCAACCTTGCCAGTAGGAGCGTTACCACCATTGGGAGATAGACTGTTCCAAAAGAAAGTATGGTTCCATGCCTGACAACAGTAACAAATGACAAGCACATAACCTAACCGATTCCTCACCTGAGCCGCCTGGTTGAAGACTCCTCCACTCTTGGTCTTGATGATTTCCTCCATACTCATCTTCGCAACATCACCATCTTCAGCGCAGATCTTGTTGAGATTGGCAACATACGTAGCATGATGCTTTCCTAAATCAGAGACATTCACAACCAAGCCGTTGAAGCGACAATACCTACCATAATGATACTGAATAGTCTCGGCAGACATGTGAGGCTCCAGAGCATTTTCTGCCCATGGGAGAGGAGGAAGAACATGAGGACCGCCAGACATAGTTTCCAACAAATTACTCAACAAGGACAACTAAGCAAGTGACTATTGGTATTGAATAAAGCTGACGACCTCTATGATATGCATAGCGGAGAACTACGCAAAAGACATAAGAAGCTGTGCAATACACAATCAAGTGTCCTGCGCCGGTCACGACGGCGAGGTATCCTGCTAGCCAAGATGCACTTAGACTTGCAGAAAGATACGATTCCAATCAGTGAGTTGATAGTGTTAGCGATGACTAGAAAGTTGGCCAGTCAGGGTTGCGGCCAGCGAGTCATATAATCAGACTAGGACAATTTGGAACAACACCGCTGTCAGGTGACTTGGCCTTCAAACTCCAAGTAACATTCCGAAGAATCTACTCCCGCTTTACTCTGATGCTTTCTCAGGAATGGTCAGTCATACGAAACAGTTGAATCGATTATATATATGCGAACCCTCGGTTTAGGAGAACAAACGCGACGCATAGACCAACAACTTTCTATTCTAGCGCTTATATCCGATGATCGAAAACGATCTTTCACATACCTAAAGTCGAGGTCCCCAACCAGTAATATCCTCACTGTCAAGCCTGTGTTCCTACTATCATGCACTGAGACTTCGAATAGAGCTTCTACGGAATCACCGAAGACAAATGAATCGACTTGAAAACAATCAACGTCACTCACAAACTCTCTATTCAATCACTCTCGCACCAATGATCGGTCAACGGAAAGCACTCAATCATCGATCGCACCCTTTCACAATTAAGCCACAACACAAGCACCAAGCGAGCATCACACGCAAAGGAAGCCTTACTGACTCACTGGAAGAACAGCCAACTAGCAACAGCATAATATCTCGATCCTCAAACAGTAAAAGGTGGCCTAGTATATAATACGGTGCCACATATCGAATGCAAAGGCCCACTCTAGAGACCAGCATCAGCGACCTTCTCATTGACGAAGTCCCAGTTGACGAGGAACCAGTAGCTCTTTACATACCTGAAAAGCGAAGATACAACCGCTAGGAACCCAATGGGCAGGAGTCCTCTTACTCTGCTCTATTATTCCTGTAGTCAATGTAATAGGAATGCTCCCAAACATCTATGTTCATCAGAGGGGTCTTACTCTCATGTATCGGGTTACCAGCATCGTGACCCTGAACCTGAACACAGCGAGAACAGTCGTTAAGCTAGTTGATGCCGAGTACGAACAATCGAGTAGAATGGCTTAACTACCCGCCTATTACTATGGCTAACTTGCTGTCATTAGGGACGCCGAAGAAATTGAGTAACCCTCTTACAATCTTCAGCTTGCCGTCATCGGCAATGAGCCACACCCATCCGCTGCCGAAGTGTGAAATAGCAGCAGCACTGAACTCTTCCTTGAACTTCTCAAAACTTCCGAAGTCTCGAGTGATGAGCTCGGCAACACGGCCAGTCGGTTCTCCACCTCCGTTGGGTGACAAGTTGTTGAAGAAGAATGTGTGATTGTATACCTCAACAGAACGACATAAAAGCAGCAACAACGGCATACCCAGATGAGCCTACCTGAGCTGCCTGATTGAAAGTCTGGCCAGTCTCAGTCTGGATGATCTGTTCCAAGGTCTTCTTAGCAATGGCAGGGTTCTCAGCGGCAATACTATTCAAAGTGTCGACATATGTTTGATGATGCTTATCTGAAATCACAACACTACGTCAAACTTAACGATGCAGTCAACTCACCATGATGATAGGTAAGGGTCTCAGCAGACATATGAGGTTCTAAGGCATTCTTAACATAAGGCAAAGGTGGGCACTGGAAAGGTCCAGTGATTGAGGAGAAGCAACGGGCCAAACCCATGCGGAGGACTGGCGCGGTAGCCAAACTCGCGAAGCGATTGCCAGCAACAGATAACATGATAACTTAATCGAAAAAGTAACTACTGAAGGGTGATGCGAGTAAATCTGTCTTGATAATGATAAAAAATGTCCCCACAGCCGCTAGCTCGACTCGACGACTCGGAAGAGTCAAGCATAGTGCTTGAAGCACTGTCATGGAACACGTGCGATGGGCGAGTCGATATACGCCACGATAAAACCGTCCCGAGGATAAGACCTCGCACGGGGAACGATTGGCGCTCAACACCGAGTAGCATGAGACTGATATAGGCCACTGGCTCGAGTTCAGAGGAAGCGCATGCAGTGCATGCAATGCACTACAGCACTTCCGTGATCATCACAAACTTACACTTTAGCACTCTTCGTGTCACGTGGACAGTGGACCTTGCGCTAAAGGGAATGATACTCTCACAAAGATACCTTCGTGTCATAGACAGTTGCTGGCCGAGGGCGGTCGCTGATGTAACTAGCATCGCGCGCGCCCACATAGCTCAAGATCATCATTGAAGATTATAGCATCATCAGTACCACGTTCTCAGCATCACTCCTACATCCACTCTGCGGGTATAATGAAGCAATATGGTGTGGTCTCATTGAGTCTGATAGGCCGACATAGTGTGTGTTGGTACGGACAGTGATGGATAAACAGCTTTTCCCAGTAAAATAAGCGATATGGTGTGTACTCATTGCCATACACTCCTGTTGGCACGAGTTCCGTTATAAATGAGGAGGAGACTATTAATTCACGTCAGTGCTCGGGAACAGGGCCGCCATACCCCTCGAAGGTTTGCTGCGATTGGGGCCGATATGCCACTCCAGAACTCTAACGTTATTCTGAAGGCGAAAGGTCCTGTGAAGCAGAATGACCATCTTGCCTTGTCATGATAGTTGCAACATAGGTGCCGATATCGCAGTGGCATATCTGCCCCTCACTAGCAGCGAAGGCATATCTCGGAGTGGCATAGGTGCCCCGTCCGATGGAATTGATTCCACTGAAAGCGAAATCGGCCTCTGATATCGTAGTGGTGGATGACTACAGCATTTTGAGGTTAAGTTAATTCTTTACCTTTTCAAATATATCAGAACACTGGTGTTGAGTTGAGCTTTGGTCAATCGTACATCGGAACAACTCGCAGAATAGCTCCCCATCGCAATTCACTCACGTTTGCCATGTACACAGCAGATGACCAGAGCGGGTCTCAGACACCGGCAGATAGCCGCACTGCAGCTGCCCGCACATTAGCGTCCCTCATAGTGAGAACCTATCGAGGAATGTCATCAGAAGTGGACGACGAGACTCTCAGAGTATGTGCTTTATCTTGCTGCTGTAGTGAACAATGCTGCCTTCTTAGTCAATACTATCCAGGCATCCAGACCTACTCATGCGGAGGGGCTCAACTAGAGGCTCGGTTTCCACGAGTAGGGGCCCGATGTTTGTCAACTGTCATCGAATGGTTCTCAGGGTGCTCCGACACCGATTCAGCCTCCCAAGTAGGCCCCGTTGGCAGTAGGTCGTTGGAGGCTACGCGAAGCAAGTAAAATACGACTATCTCGGAGATTACTGTATGATTGTTCTCTGTTCAGGCCTTCACGTGCAAGCAGCGGCCTACTAGCTCCACCGACGCACGCCATCAGAAGACGCAGTAGCACCCCCAATGTGATGCTCACGTGGTATGTTGTCAGCAACTCTCTCCTCAGACGAACCACATTATGTACGCCAGCGGAGGCTCCAGTATGACACAATCAGCCGCTGACAATGTCTCCCTGACCGGAGCAGCAGGGAAGGCTGAATCTAGATCCATTGGAGTGTGGGAAAGGAAGAGTAGCGCTGTCACGCTTATCAGCGAGTGATATCACTGTGACACAGTTTCTGAGTGCAGCTGTGAGTTCTCGTAGGTCTTCCACAACCGTTCCTGATGGCAGCACGAGAGACTCTGTTGCCCGCTGTACTCGTACCGTACCGTTGTTGGGCTCGTCGAGACTTGACAGGATCACGATCAGCCCAGCGGTCATTGTTACTGAGTAGGTCACAAAATAGTAAGCAACTCGAAGATCTACTTTGGTCAAGCTCGACCCAAGTTAACGCGGATACTGCCAGTGAGTGCACTCGCACCGCTAGAAGAGGAAGCACTCTCAGTATCGTCAGCGATGGGGATGGTGAGCACAATTCGAGGCACTCCGTATGCTTATGAACACGGGCTTTTAGAGTCTGCGGGACCTCCGTCTACTGTGGATCAATCGGCGACTTTTCTAGCAGCTGATAGACGAGGCAGTTTGTTCAGTGTGGATCCCGCTGAGATTCTTGGCATGGTGAACCGATCTTGTGCGAAGCTGTGAACGGATGTTCCTCACTAGGTTCGCACGCCCTGCTTCGCCACATCTCCTTCGGACGCTGAGTTATTCAAAAACAGAACTCCGACAATCCCTAGGCACTTACTGACGCCCTACTCTGAAAAGAGTCGAGATAGGCAGCTGGTGAGCTCTGGACATTACAGTCTCTCATAGTCGGTTTTGCAGCAGCCAACTCCGAGATCTCCAGGGCCATCTTCGTCGAGTGTTGATGCTGTCGGCTGGAACATGTGGAGCCTCACCAAGTAGGCGGGTCGGCCTTCGCATTCAATCAGTTATTGTCCGCAGACCAGAAGCGACAGTGATGCTCCAAACACTCCTAGAGGCGGCTTCGGTGGAAGCTGAATCTAATTCTCGCGATGTGACGAATGTAAGCCGGGCTAACAGACGCAGCCTTGTTCTGTTGCATCATCAGGCACTGATAGGCCAGCTGGTGAGGGCTCATCCAGAGCTAGTCATACCGCTCAATGTTACCGATACAACGCAGTGAGTTTCCGGCAATGCCGTTTCGGCAACCCGTGATCGAATTCGTTTTCATACTGAAGATAGAGTTGCACTTACCTGGTGCTTGTTTCGGCACCTCTTAATCTCAATATCGTAGTACACAGTACCCTGATAGAACGTTACGCAAGGATTAGTTATTTGGATATTATTTGTAATTGCTTCAATTCCAAGACGAGGCTACTGCATCATACTCATTTCATTTGTACCTTATTCTAATGGTTTGCAGTGACAGCCGAACGAATGCATTCTCTGCAGTCTACAATTACAACGTAGTCGGAAATTATTGGATCTCGAGCAGTCTTCGATCTCATGCTGTGAAAAAGTCTATCGGTGATTTCACTGAATCAATGCGAATCTCTACAGAGTTTTTTCGTGTTGTGTTGTGGGAGTTCGAGGTCGCATGATGTGGTTGTGTCCACTGCCACTCCAGCTTGATAATAATGCATGATGTTAACCGATCAGTAAGCGACGAGCTTGTTCGAGGAATGTTCATACCGGATTCCAGTTGCTGGGAGGTATACAGCTGCAATGCCTGATCTTAACTTAATGCTTCTCTCTTTGAATCAACATACACAGTCAACACAGGCGAGGCCTTATCGTTGATGTCAACAACGATGAGATACCTCACATCGCGGTTGCTACTCGTATGCGTGAAGGCATTAGCACGAGCATCACAATCAAGGGTCACGGATGATACAAAAGTATCGATAGCCTTCACTGGGTGTGTCTCCAAGCGTGATACTGAGCACATTACCCATTCTCTCTCGATCTCGCCAACTCGAGGAAACAACATATTCAAGTTCTTTAGTTCTCATTATTTTCACCCATTCGTGAAGTACTAGTGTATGATACCACCATGAGTTTCTATGTCGTTCTATCATTGCCTGCGTTGTTTGTATAACAGCGCTCACTCGATGAAGACAACATACCACAGTACTGAGCATCGAAACTGGTGGTTAAAAATCTATGGTACAGAACGGTCTATAATTGTCCGTATTTCAGAAACGAAAGTCATCTGATCAGCTCCTCCTTCGTCTGCGTAGACGTCGTACCATCGACGTGCTCCGTGGTTGTCGTTGTCCTAAGCATCTAAAACGAACAAGTCCGACGACATCTTCATCATTCGACGGGATGACGTGTTACCTTCTTGCCATTCTTAGTCACAACTTCCTGCTTGGTAGAAGTGTGCGCAACGGCAGGGCCCTCGTTCTTCGAGGAGGTTGCTGAAATAAATACTCATCACGACACAGGCATACTATTAAAATGCTGCCGAAATTAGCCCATCGGAGTACAACGATCTTATGCTTAGTAAGTGTATCGAAATGGAATGAAAAATACAGCGAGGCACTTCACATGAAGGTGAACAAATCTGATTGTCTCGACGACCAACTTTCAAAGCTCGAGGACTACGATGCTTCCATCAAGCAGAGAATCTCTCAGAGATTGGACATCTCTGCCAGAGATTGGAGTGAAGTAACCAGTCAGGTTCCGAATAGTACCCCAGAAGAAGGCGGAGGGGACTAGTAAGGCGGCAGCAGCGGCAAAAAGGCGGCGTAGGAGCTGTGGTGCTCGCCTCATCGCACCTGACGTACCAAGCTGTAAACTGCGGAACCGTAGAGGCAGCGGAGACCATCAACGTCGCCACCACCCAGAGGCCGTACGTGAGTGCAGCATTTTCCTCAACATCTTCGCACCAAACATGTCAAAACCAAACCGTGCAACTTCAAAGCCTTGTCGTAGTGTATCTGAGGTGCATTGTCGTAGTGATCGCCCTTGTCGAAGACCATCATGAGCAGCTTCTAGTCATGACCACCAACGAGCCGCAACAACAGCCGTGACCATCGTGGTGCAGACCCTTCATACGCCGCCGCACTGCTGTTGACGCGTCTTCTACTCACAGTATGAACTCTCGAAGTTAGCGTACGGGTATCACAAGAGAAAGGTGGTAAAAGAGGTGAACGAACAATGAACAAAAATCGTGGAAGTACAGAAGATGTGATAGATAAATTCGACTCAGTCCCTCGGCAAGAAGGTCCTTCCTACTCTTGTTGGGCCGTGGTGGTTGTTTGAACAGGTTTCCAAAATCTCCACCCATGGTCCCGAAGAGCGAACCGAAGCCACCCAAATCGTGTGGATCTCCAAAGGGATGTTGACTGCCAGGACGGCTACTATCCCAACTCGCTGATTCCGCCGACCTTGTGGAAGTTCTACACACAAGAATGTCACTAACTGTATGCATAATAACTGTAATATGACCGGGAGGAGGTGGGACCTGTGGCACTCGTAAAACCATCTCGCATGGCGTTCTTCAGAAGATCATCCAAATCCATACCCATCGCGTGCTGAGTGAGGAACAAGAGATGCTGCAACAGCAGGGCAGCACAGTCAGTGTACAAGCTCACCTTGAAGAGCTCTTGGGCTTCTTCCATTGATATATGTCTGTAATGGACATTGCCTGAATACGTTCTCCGATGGCGGAGTCATATAAGATGCCTACCTTCAGTGAAGCCACCCTGAGGGAAGCCACTGCCTGGGAAGGGTCCTGAGGCCCCATAGCTAGGACCAGACGGACCTCTACTAGTGCTACTGCCAGCGGCACCGTAAGATGACGAGCCACTGCCAAATGCGTCGTACCTTGACTCAAGTGAAATCCTGGGAATCAATGATGGAGGCTTTCTATTGGTCATCAACAAAGTTGCCATATTCAGAGAAGTGTCCTCATGTGAAAATAGTCGATCCCTCGAAAAACAGGGATCAGCATCAATGAGACTAATTCAACCACCTTGAGCAGTTCACTGGTTCCACCCTAACATTTATTATTGTGAAGAATTCATTCCATTTTCGGCATCTGTCATCGCTCGGTGCCTGTGAGTCTGTACGCATGTCCCCTGCCTACTGTCTGCGTTTGTCTTCATCACCAAGCGTCTGATAGGCCTCTCCAATATCTTTGAACTTCTCCTCCGCTGCATTGCGGTTGTCGGGGTTCCGATCAGGATGCCACTTCATCGCTAGCTTACGGTAAGCCTGATAACGTCATTTCCCAGGGAGAACTACGCAAGCCTGGGCCACCAGGGAATCATCCAGGAAAAAATTCCCATGTAAATTCATCATAATAGGAACATCATTTATTATCATTGTTATCGAACCCTGCGAGACGTTATTTCTCAAGGCTGCATGGGTCCCTGTAGCCGACATAAGCTGATACCGCCTCAGACTACTTCCCAGTAGAGAACCTCACCCCATAGGGAAAGTATTGGATGACTACCCATAAGGCTCACCTTCTTGATATCGTCCTGAGATGCACTGCGAGATACACCCAAGACGTCGTAGTAGTCCTTGGGTCCAGACTGGGTGGCAAACGCCCGTCCGAGCAGTGGGGAGACCCGTCTCGATAGTAGGGACGGTCCGGAAACCCGTGTTATGAGTCGGGCATGGGACACTACTGCTGGAGTCCTCCGAACTGTGCAAGACAGGATTGAATTGAGCATGTATGATGTGGCAGATATCAGTAAGGAAGGGCCCGAGAAGGCGCCCTCTTCATGAAACAAGAAACTGAAGTACGCCGTTATCAGGCCTTATCACTGTGAGCACCCCAGATGCCCGACAGGAGTAGATCAGGACAGATCGTGATGATGAGGAATACCATCTTTCACATAACTCTCAAGACTCTTGTGGTTAACCCAAGCACCTCCAACACGGAACGTTATTCTGTCATCACTAAAATTATCACAAAATTATAAAGTGGCCCATTCAAGCTGTAAATCTGTTTGGAATGGCTTCATCGCGGAATCGATTGGGCCCAGCACTCCCTCCAGCAGCATGTCAGCGGATGTCCCCAAGCTCGAGATCACGGGGGCTGCCTTCTCCTGCCTCAGGGTCGACCATATCGCTGATATTAGCACGGCAAATGGGACCTGTCCATAAGCAGCTGATATGATCCGAACAGTAGTATGAAGTCGACTTACACAGTTGGGAAACTGCCAGCCACTGTGTAATACACCGCTCATGGAAGACGTGCCGTGTATTGCACGGTAAGATCATAACGGAATCATCGTCACTGAAGTCTGATAGGCATATTGGGCAGCTCTCGGGCACATCAACGGCTTCACTCGGTGATCGTGAGCCTACACAGACGATGGAAGAGCTAGGGTAAGGATGGTGGTTTGCCTGATTCCTCTAAAAGTCTGTGGTACTCCGTTTTGGGAATTCGGCGGACCATGTCGTCACGTGTGGCGATCTGAGGAGAGGGTTCTCAAACGGCCTCGACGGTGTGGTTGTCGCGCTAACCTGGTTGGCATCAGGTGGAAACATGATGGGAAGGAAACAGAGCAGGCAGGGCAAGCAGCACATCACCTGAGAAAGTAATATGAATGTTCGCTAATCAGAGAGCTCACCAGAAACAATATAGCAACAGGTAGAGCCACCACTAGGAACTGTATAAGGCACATGACCATGGCGAAGTTCCACACACCCCTGTCGCAGATATTGCTGACCCATAGGAGGTAACTGCAGAGAGGGGAAGACTGTATGAGAATAACGATGATGGCGAGGCGTATGCAGATGATTTATTCATCCTTTCCCGATGTCTCCAGCTACGTTTCAGTACTCTTCGATTGTACGGAGTCCGCACGACGAGTCGTGACTAGCTGCACCACACATCCAGAGATGAGGACTCACCATCCGAGAATCCAGATGTAGTATCCCGTCCGATTGCAGGTGACAATCCATGAAGTAACTCGAGGTAAGGCAAGCTCATGGCCACCTTGACGAGTCAGCCAGAAGCGAACTGAGAGATCTGGAGTAGCTCGTGGAACCCAGCAAGATGGCAACTCACCAGCGACCAAGATGGCCTTCAAAACATGTCGGCCCACGAATAGGGTGATCCACAGCGGCAATGGTGTGTCACAGGAGTCGTTAAAGCCTAAAGGTCGAATCGAACCAAAGACCTCCTGGGCGACGGCAGATGCCGTTACGGTTCCGCCAGTCGCACTCAATTATAGTCAGCATCCCTACCAGCGCTTGTCGAAGCATCCTTCAGAACCATCAGTGCAGCGAGCACAACACCCAGTACTGCCATGCCATGGACTATGACCACTCCCAAGGGCAGGTCGGGCAACGTAACCATACTGTTGGCTAACTCACTCGCGGTAGCTCGTACCTAGTCCTCGAGGCTCACAACAGAAACATGAGAAAAGACGCGCGCATACTCGATAAGGATTCGTCTCGTCGTACAGCACATCGTCGAAAGCTTCTACTGAGGCATCATCTGTGGTGACCGAAGCTTCGCGAGCAGGGGAGTCCTCGCCTTGTACGGAACCATCGGCTGGCAATCCGGCGTACCGAGCCGCTCTAGAGGAGCGCGACGGTCGAGTCTCGTCGTTCGGCCGAAGCCTCGATATTACACGACCAAAGTTGACACGCATGGAATGAATCAAGCAACTACTATGAAGAAATAGGCGCACACTCCAACGCAAAATCAGGACCATGGAGATCTCAGCAAGGACAACTCTGTGAGTTGCCGTTGAAACATGCTATGGATTGTGCGAATCACATCATCTTGTTCTCACAAACTGGCCATTCCCGTCTCCTCGCTAGATCACCGAGATGGTCCGAAACTGAATAATAGTCGACACCCGTTGGCCATCATCGTGATCCCTGTCTGATACATTCGTTAGGCCCAATCAGCTGGATGGAGACTCCGAGAAAAGGTGGTATCGGCACACGGTAGATGTCACTGACACAGCGTCACATCGCTATCCCTACCTTAGACGTATCCGCTACTGCAGTAAGGACTGCTGCCGCTGTCATCACCCTACCGACCTGCCCAGCCGGTGTTCGCTTGCTATGCATCATTGATACTACCTCAACTCGTCTCCACCGAGAGGTCCTGTCAAAGAACAGACATCCCGTGGGTGAGTCAAACCCTTCCTCCCATTGGTTGCCCAAAATCGATGCTTCCTCGGAGGGTAAATAACAAAACTTCGACTCCGCAACAAAAATGCGAAAATGGCATCCTCCACCGTAACAGACATCCACTGCCATTCTCGTCCACTCGACCCACGTGCCCTGGTATTCGAGTACTACCTTAGGTAGTACTCCCCTTAGGAGTACAGGGGCTGCCTGTTGCCGACTCCGACGAACAGGTTGATCAACAGGCACCTCGTTGATGCACAACGTATCGACCCTAGATAGTAGTAGTAGTTGGCAACCCATAGAGGAATCCACAGATGCTGGTAAAGATACCGAGTAACTCCCAGGGGATGTACTCTCGCCTCCATCTCATCGAACACAACGAGCTACCGAGATTGCCGTAGCTCTTTAGAATCCGTCGTCACTCACGGCCAAGTTCGTCGGAATTGATAAAAATTCATGGAGAAAAAGCTTTTCCCAAATCCCACCCTGCACAGTACTACCGTCCATTCCTCGTGGTTCGTTCTTCCCATCCCACAACGCACCTTCCGTTATAATTCATGTAAGTTTGGCTGACAGGAGCTCCTCATTCACTAATAACTGCCAATACTCGGCAATGCTGAACCAACTTCAAACGCAACAGATCTGATTGATGTTAGCCATCTCTGTTGACGAATTGCAATAGCAGTCACCGTGTCACACGGCACAAGGCCACATGCGAGCTCCAGCAAACCTCGCGAGTCACCAACTGCTCGCACCGCTTGGCGGTTTTTGTCCCATTCCCACCACTTGCGCTCATCAGCCTAGGTTTGATACTCGTCCAATTAGCCCTCGGGGAAGGCCTCAGATCATCAATAGCAATCGTTACTCTCACTGGCGCTCCGACTTCGCGTAAATACCGGCAAACACTCAGCTGATAATACGAAGTGTCGTATAAGGGCAACCATATAACTCTAACTCGAACTTACGCCATCAACAAACAGAGCTGTAACCGATGGGAAAGCCCAGTCCCCGTAGAGCTCAGCTCCTGTGATCCCAGCAGGCCCTTCGGTGACCACATGAGTTTGAGCAGCAATCCCAGGTTTCTCAAAACAACCATTGAATTCTCAACCAGACTCATCGATGAGCCCCATCCCTTGTTGGGTACACAACGCAGTAGGACGCGAACAGAAACATGCTCATCCTTAGTATGCAACAAAGAGCAGCATACCTATCAAATAGAGAAGTCCTCATTGGGCATGTTGGTCTCCTTCTCAGTGGTACCCGTATAGAAGCTGATAGGCTTGTAAAAGGTAGACCTACACCACACATCTACAGCTCTTACGATACAAGTCTGGTCCTCAAGTACCGTAACTTCCACATATTATTATAAGGCGTAACCTTCTCTGTACTTAGTCGTAGAATGCCTGACAACAACAAGCTTACATCCCTCCAAGTAAGCGGCTTCAGACCCGTGTTATGGCGGCCTATCTCCTCAATGGCATTCCATGATGCCGGATGAGCTCCAAAGTTCATAGTAAACCACCTAAGTACACGAACCAACAACAACAACAGCTCCACCACACATTCGTGCTACCTCCCATAGAAGAACTTTCGCCGATACCCCTGCTTCAATAGGAAGTAACTGAAGCAGTCTAGTATTCCAAAACAGCCAATATCGCAACCCTACGGTAGATTTCTCCAGCCGAGGTCCTCAAAGCTGAATACAACACCCCGGTTGTTGGTCACTGCTCGAGCCATCTCCTTCACCAAGCACCTCAGTTCATGGTTGGTCACTTCGTTGTGGACGAGGAAATATGTACGATAGAATGGCATTCCAGGGAGACCACTAAACCCACTCCCTTCCCCGCGAACGTAATAGAGCCACCCTTGAATTCACTCAATGCTAAACTGCTGCCTCACAGAAACCCGTAATGCATCACAAAAAGAACTTCAGCCATTTCCTAGTAAAAGTCTGAACCCAGGCTGGGATGTTTCGTGCGGTAATCAGCGCCGACGGGGTCGGTACTGTCGATGAATACTCCATCATATTATCAACCTAAATGGACGGCGTAGGGTTGATTATAGAGACCCCTCCACAGCGACCGGCCTCCCACACAGTGCTTTGTGCTTATTCGCCTCACTACCTCCTTTTGCAGTTTGCCACTGAAGGCTGAGCCCTCCTTCGTACGGAACAAGAAGCTCATCTCAAGATCTCTATCCCGCGCCCGATAACCGTAGTTACTGCTACCCACTAGGCATCCAATAGGTGTAGACCCGACAGATCGGTAACCCCAGATGCCCTGAACAACGAACTGACAAAACACTCCGTACAGTAGCTACTACCTTCGCATGGAAAGTCCAGTACGGTCGTTCGTATTCATGCAGCGTTCCACGCGTTAATCTTTTCATTAAGTCAACCTCCATCGTAGTGTACCTTCATTCGAGCAACGTCTACGTCCACACGAAGAGCATCAAGACGCCCTCACATATCTGGTATATGCTGGCTCAATCCACCGCTCTTATAGAAACTATTAGCCTTCGGACAAGCGACGATGACATCGATAGGGCGACTAGCAAGCATCCCTTCAATGCCAGGGGGAGGGTTGGCGTAACCTGCAAGAAGTAGAGTAGAGCTACTACGACAAGCACTACTACCTGAAGCCATCACCAGCCGACTACCATCCCCATCCTCCATGATCTCAAGGAGTCTCCACAGCAGCTCTTGATCAGCATGCATGTTGAGGTATCCGCACTGGATGCCCACCTGGACTATGCATCGCTTAGTATTCTTCGGCTCGGGAACAGGGGAATCTGATGGAGACTGAGATTGCAGCTATGACGACCTCTTCCAATAGTGGAGCCGTCCCTTCCGTTCAAGTACACTAACAGGCTCAAGGCGAGGAGCTTACCTCCGTTGAAGTCCTTGAATTTATCGAAAACTTTCTCAAAATTTTCTCGAAGTATCTGATCAACATTACAATGCCCGTCCCCTGTCTGAACAAGGGCCCAATAGTACCCTCTTAGTCTCCTTAGACTTTGGAGCATCATGATGTTGACCATGCCTTGCCTCCCCTACGTCTATCGATGCACCGGACACGGCATCTATTACACTGCTTACGAACTCTGCGATATCGGGACAACTACGTAGTACCAGACACCTAGGCCAAATACTTTCATAAGTGTCATCCCCTCAGCACCGTCCTACTACTACTACTACTACTACTACTACTACTACTACTACTACTACTACTACTACTACTACCACTACTACTACTACTACTACTACTACTACTACTACTACTACTACTACTACCACTACTACTACTACTACTACTACTACTACTACTACTACTACTGCTACTACTACTACTACTACTACTACTACCACTACTACTACTACTACCTATCTTGCCTATCCCTAAAGTAGCTGCCACCAAAATTGGCTCCTGTGAGAAGGACAGTGTCATCAGCGACAATAGCCTTCATGTGCTGTACCCCCAAAACCTCATTCTGTCGTTCCCGTAGGAAGACCCGGCCAGCGCCTTTGTACCTTCCTAACGATACTTTTCAACGCACCGTAAAAGTTCAACGATTACTACATTGGGCTGCAAAAAAACTTCAGTTCAGCAGGGTTCCGTATCATCTCCCCCGTATGATCGTGCAGTACTTCCTTCTTACACAGGGACACCGAGCTAGCCCCTGTCTTGTGGTCTTTACGTGTGCCTCGCAAGTAGTCCATGACCAGTGTCCTCTCAGGTGCGTTGCATTCCCTTCCCAATGCCCTCAGCATCTCCCTCTCCCTATCCCCTGTACCAACATACAAAGTAATCATCTTACACCGAGTCTTGGCTCCTCGTATCAGAGCCAAAACCTCTTCATAGAAGTCCTCTGGAGTGTAGTAGACGTCTATTGCACTGTCTGGGATCTCGAATGAAAATATCCTAGTTTCGTCCTTCTCCGGCATTTCATCACAACAGGCTGTAACCATTCTCAATAACTACCCCACATACATCGGAACTTCCTGACCATAGTTCACCTCACAAATCTAGGCGCGGCCGATTCAATTGATTCCTACCATACCCCATGGAATACGTTCGAAATTCAACTTAGTCACAACCCATTTTCAGCATAAAATTACTCTACTAGATATGCAACTACCACAGCATGGCAATGTACAAACTACTCTCAACATGGAACAGGATATTGCTACTAGTATTGACTCGATACTGTACGATAAACATGACGAAACTATAGACCCAATACTTCGAGTAATATAACTAGTAATAGTCTACAATATAACATGGCATATTGTTGATGTTATATCCACATACCCTATTTTACCTAATCATAATATCTGTGTCATTATATTAATAGTAAATATCAATTTATCTAATAAGACCATATAGATACTAAATATATGATATATCTATTCAGTAACTGTCACCAACACAACAACAAAAGTAAGAGTTCGAAACATCGAGCTCGACAAGCTCAAACTATTCGAAAACATCGCGACCTAATCGCAAGTGTAAGGTAGGTATGTTATAAGAAACATTTACTGGGCATCAACCTTGCTCATGTGGACAGCGAGGTCAACAAGACGGTTGGAGTAACCCCACTCGTTATCGTACCAGGAGACGAGCTTGACGAACTTGTCGTTAAGAGCGATACCGGCCTTAACATCGAAGATGGAAGAGTGCTTGTCGTTGCACATATCAGTGGAAACGACATCATCATAGGTGATACCCATGACACCCTTCATGTCACCCTCAGAGGCCTCCTTAACGGCGGAAACGATCTCGTCGTAGGTAGCGGCCTTCTCGAGACGGCAGGTAAGATCGACAACAGAAACATCAGGGGTAGGGACACGGAAGGACATACCAGTCAACTTACCGTTGAGAGAGGGGATGACCTTACCGACGGCCTTAGCGGCACCGGTAGAAGAAGGAATGACGTTGGCAGCAGCGCAACGGCCTCCCCTCCAGTCTTTACCGCCCTTAGAGGGACCATCGACGGTCAACTGAGTGGAAGTGGTAGCGTGGATGGTGGACATAAGACCCTCGACGAGACCGAACTTATCGTTGATGATCTTAGCAAGAGGGGCCAAGCAGTTAGTAGTGCAAGAGGCGTTGGAGACAACAGTGAGATCGGAAGTGTACTCCTTGTTGTTGACACCCATCACGAACATGGGGGTATCATCCTTAGGGGGAGCAGAGATGATAACCTTCTTGCAGCCACCCTGGATATGACCAGAGGCCTTCTCTTTAGTGGTGAAGACACCAGTGGACTCGCAGACGTAGTCGGCGCCGGCCTTGCCCCAGGGGATATCGCAGGGGTTCCTCTCGGCGAAGACCTGGATGGTCTGACCGTTGACGATGAGGGAGTTCTCACCAACCTCGACGGTACCGTTGAACTGACCGTGGACGGAATCGTACTTGAGGAGGTACTGCATGTAAGGGAGGTTCATGAAGGGATCGTTGACAGCAACGACCTTGACCTCAGGGTTCTCCATGGCGGCACGGAAGACCAAGCGACCGATACGACCGAAACCGTTGATACCGAGTTGAGCGACCATTGTTGATTAAGTGATTAATCCAATGAGTGGATGTGATGGTGGTGTAGACCGAGCCAGCGAAGCCCTAAGCTATAGCTTAGCAAATCGCTCATGTCTCATCACACAACGCAAGGTAAGCCACCCCATAGGGGACATCCCTTGTGTCAGAACTGTATCGGGTACGACCAGCCATATCTTGAGTTCTACAGAGCCTTCATGGTGGTATACTCGTCATCTTATATGCAAGTGTGATCGAGCGGTGAAGATCGAACTATATGGCCTCCTCCCTATCCATAAAGCGAACCCATTTAAAGTTCAAACTATCCGTACGGTATTCATTTTCAGCAATGCTGCTCCACTATCAAGTTTACGCGCGATGAACCGTGAAACCACCACCTGATCGTCGATTACTCCGGAAGGGGAGTACAAAGTGAGGGAATCTCAGCCAATTAAAATCCTAGGTGTTTAGTTTTCCATCATGTCCGGGCTCCACAGGGTTACTCAGATCGTGAACTCTCTACTGAGACACTTACCGGGTCAAGAATCGTCCAAGTATCTTTTCCACGCACTTCACTCTTCACTCTACCAAGGACGATGAACTCCATTTCCACACGGATGAAATCTCAAATCTACGTACACATACGTGCGGGGGTTTCGATTGACTCGGCGGGCGCTAGTGGCATAGTTCAAGATCGCTAGGACATCACATCCCACCGAAGCACTCGTGTCTTTCACACTGAGTTTGTCGACTAATCGTATCATGCTCCATAGTGAAACCTCCATTCTACTGTATTGTGTAAGACAGATTTCCTTATCGTCTCCTCTCTGCTCTCTCGTGGAGCTGTCGTTGAGCCCTCTCGCAATCATTGGAGTCGTCGATTGTATGTTTAGACACACACGCCTTGGATTATCTTATTGTTCGCTACTGCTACTATTATTATTACAATTACTTCCACTTCTAGTACTACTACTACCACTACTACTATCCTGTGTAGTGTCACTCTCAATATAAATGCCAAGCCAGGCCAATCCGTTTCAGCAGTGCTACAAGAAGTTGGACAGTGGACATGCATTCTATGATCTCAACGAGCTTCGTAAGTGCGCTTTATCCTCGTATGAAGTTATCAGTCGTACTATCGAGCTCCCGTGGCTCTCTGTCGAGTTCGCTCTCCTCTGCGTTATTTGTTGACCGTTTTCACGGTATGTCTTGTTTCTCAGATGACGAGAGGGCTAAGAAGCTGCCGCTGTCCATCCGTATTCTGTTGGAGTCCGCGGTTCGTAACTGCGACGAGTTCGAAGTTAAGTCGTCTGATGTTGAGAACATTTTAAACTGGTCTGAGACCTCTAAGAATCAGACTGAGATCCCCTTCAAGCCCGCACGAGTCATCCTACAAGATTTCACTGGTGTTCCCGCGGTGGTCGACTTTGCAGCTATGCGTGATGCTATGGACCGTCTTGGTGGTGACCCTGCAAAGATCAACCCTTTGGTACCGGTAGACTTGGTTATCGATCACTCTGTGATGGTGGACTACTCCCGATCTCCTGAGGCTCTCGAGAAAAACCAAGAGTTAGAATTTCAGCGCAACGGAGAACGCTTTGCTTTTCTGAAATGGGGAGCCGAGGCCTTCGACAACTCGAACATCGTGCCTCCTGGGTCCGGTATTGTTCATCAAGTAAACCTCGAGTACTTGGCTAGAGTAGTTATGAACGCCACTGAGGAGGGCGCTGTTCTCTATCCTGATTCCCTTGTTGGCACCGACTCTCATACTACTATGATTGACGGTCTTGGTGTTGCCGGATGGGGTGTTGGTGGAATAGAGGCCGAAGCGGTGATGCTTGGTCAGCCGATCTCTATGGTTCTGCCAGAGGTTGTCGGATTTAGGCTCACTGATCGACTTCCGGTCACGGCCACAGCTACTGACCTTGTTCTGACCTGTACCAATATGCTGAGGAAGCGAGGAGTGGTTGGTAAATTCGTCGAGTTCCACGGCCCTGGTTGTGCTACTCTGTCGCTTGCTGACAGAGCGACCATTGCTAACATGGCGCCTGAGTACGGTGGAACCATGGGTTTTTTCGGTGTCGATCAGAAGTCTCTGGACTATCTCCTCCAAACTGGTCGTCCTAAGCACGTGGTTGAGTTGATCGAGAAATACCTCAAAGCTAACGGCCTTTTCCAAGATTACTCTGAAGATCGCGAGTACTCGGGCGAGCTGATGCAGTTGGACCTGTCCACAGTTGTTCCTTGTGTGTCGGGCCCTAAAAGGCCTCATGACCGCGTCGCTGTTACTGATTTGCCAAAGGACTTCACTGATGGTCTCAGCACGCC